TTCACCAGGCCTCTGCTGGCAGTTAGCTGTCAGAGGTAGTCAGCAATCCCTGGCTTTTGCCATCTGTGCAGCRGCTTGTCTTTGCTCAGAAGCCAGCAGGGCTCATTTCTAGAGCTTCAAACTACATGTGCCAGGGAAGTGCACAATATCAGGCTTGCCCTTTACAAGCTGTGGGATGACAAACCAAGGTTAGAGGAACAGGGTGCAGGTGAGGACCCTTAGCCAGTGGACCTGAGAGGTGSTGGTCACACTGGAGCACATTTGACATCTTACGGAGACAAGCCAGGGGCTCCTGAGGTAACAGAAGCCAAGAAACATCAGTGAAATATCTCAGTGAAAATTATGACCTCACTGCCATTACTGAAACTTGGTGGGACAAATCCTGTGACTAGATTGCAACTATGGATGGTTACTGGCTGTTCAAGGAAAGTAAGGGTGGAGGGGTTGTCCTCTGTATCAGGGGGTGGATTGTGTGTGAAGTGCTGTCTCTGAAGGATCAGCGTGAACAGGTTGGAAGACTGTGGGTAAGGACAGACACTGAGACAGCAAAGAGAGCCCCATGGCTGGCCTGTACTACAGGCCACTCAGCCAAGGTGAGCCCTGCCCAACAAAGCCTTCTTGCTCCAGCTGCAGGAGGCGTTGTGCTCACAGGCTCTTGCCCTGATGAGGGCTTCAACCACCCGACACCTACTAGGCAAGTGATGGGGCAAGCTGTGGGCAGTGCAGAAGACTCCTGTAGTGCATGGAGGTAACTCTTAAGCCAGGTAATAGCTCTACCAGAGGGGGCGTGAGCTGTTGGTCATCAACAGCAATTAATTGGGGCCATCAAGATAGGAGGCACCCTGGGTAGCAGTGATCATGCACTGGTGGAGTTCGCAGTCCAGAGAGATATGGGCCAGGCAAAGAGTAAAGTCAGAATCATGAATTTTAGGAAAGCAAAATTCCAAGTTATCAAGGATGTAGTCAATAGGACCTCCTGGGAAACTGCTCTGAGGAACAAGAGATCAAAAGAGGTGTGCAGATCTCTAAGGACGCTTTCCGTAGAGCACAAAAACTAGCGATCCCTAGGAGGAAAYGGTCAGGCAAAGAGGGCAAGAGACTGACATGGGTTAGTCAGGACCTGATGGTCAAACCAAAGGGTAAGAAATTCACAGCCAATGGAAGCAAGGACAGGTATCCAGGGAAGATTATAGGGTCACAGTCCAGTTGTGTAGGAATGGGGTGAGGAGAGCGAAAGCAAAGCTGCAGCTGAACTTCATAAAGGTCACAAAGAACAACACAAAAGCTTCTACAGGTGTGTCAGTCAGMCAGAAAAGGAAGGTTAAAGAAAGCATTTACCCCCTTGTTAAGCAAGAATGGCAAACTGGTAACTATGATGAGGAGAAGGCTGAGATGCATAAACATTTTTGCCTCAACCCTCACTGGCAACCTCTCTTTCCACTCCTTCTGAGTGGATGGACTGTAAAATGTGACTGGGGGAGCCAGGTGCCTCAGAGAGAATCAGGTTTGTGACACCTGAGAAACTGGAGCATACATGAATATATGGGAGCCAAGGAGATGCATCCCAGAGTCCTGAGGGGATTGAGTGATGTAGTTGCCAAGTCAATCTCCATGATATTCAAAAGTCTTGTCAGTCAAAATGAAAAAGTTCAGCTTTCCTGTATTTGCACAACCCCTTACACTGCTTAGGGCTGCATCTACCCTTGAGCAAGTAATTGCTGGAAATTGCATGCTTGTGTTTCTGTTCCATCAGGCTTTTCCTAGAGTTTTGTGACTACTCTCTTCTGCCTTTCTGTGATTTTGAAGTGTAGCCCTCTCTCGATAACTCCTGAATGACTGCTATAAATTAACTGCTATGGACATTTGCAGGAGGATTGTCGCACACTGCACAATGAGGCTGCATGTTACATTTCTGAGAGGCTACACCACTGTGCATTCATCAAATTCTCCACAGACTGGAAAATAATGTTCTATTACTCCCACAAACCAGAGTGGAAAGTTGTCTGCTTCTTTAGTCCGAGGAGCCCCTGCCTCGCCTTGCCTTGCTCTCACAATAGCTCTATGTCAATCCTTGAGGTCTGCACTGTGAGACTTTCCTTTCTGAATTGAGGGCACAGCGTTGCTATCACTGAAGTACAGTTTAGGGTAAAGGCCATTTAGTCAATGCTGGCATTCATTTGGAAGAAGTTTAACATTGGCATTTTCTGTGCTTGGTACTGCCAAGTGCCATGCTCCCTGATCCTGATTAGCAAAGCATTTAAATTTGCGCGTAAAGCTCTCTATCAGTGCTCACATTGATTTCAGTGGAGCCAATTACACATTTAGAGTTTGAAAAGAAGCTAAAATTRTTAGGCTGGGAGTGAAAACACTCTATTTCTGGAGAGTTAATGAATATGTAACATTAATCTTAGAAAAAGCAACCAACCCCACACCCAGTTAAAAAGAGAGTTCATGGTCTTTGCTTTCATACCTGTGGTGAATCAGACAAAGTGGGAGCAAGTGTACAGCACACAAAGAGCAGGGTCAAATTTACAGTGACATAATCATCCCAACAGGAAATTATAAGAACTTTTCTTTTAAATCACTGTTTTTGTAGAAAAACCTTAGTCTACTTACAATCAAGTTATAAAACCAGGCGGCCATTTAAGTCCCGTGGCTGGTAATTTGAGGTTTTCATATGAATGTATTTTCCTATGTCTGTGTTAACTTATTTCTAAAAAAAAAAAAAAAAAGAAGGAAGATTACTATTATAGGAAGGATCTGTTTTCTATGAGGTTTCTCTTGAAGTGCAGACAAAAATAGGCCTGAAATCTAAACTGAAATTGCCACACATGGATTCTGAATTGTAGGTTTCTTTGTAAATAAAATTTAGACTAGCTTAAAAACATGGATTCTTCATCTGGATTCGCTATTGTCACTTATATCAATTAAAACCAAATGTGAAAAGAAATTTGACTCCTGTTGGAGCCTTGGTGATTTCCCTCTACCTTCCTGTAAAAAACATGCCTTGGTCAGGCATATGCCAGCATACAAATGCTGCGTGTGCTAACTCGTGTGAACAAACTGGATATCTGTATGCAAGTGGATGCGATGTACTGCCATTTAATGTAGTGGCAGATTAAGTATTTGGCATGCACATTAGGTGCCTATTTTTAAATATTTATTCCTGTGTTTATTTTTCTTTCAAATACCACTGCAGAAACAAGTGACTTGTATTTAACCAGTGATTTTGTATCTTTCCCCAGCAGACTAAAACCAGACAGTAGATATAAAGAGAAATTATGATAAGAGGCAAAAAAAATTCCATTCCCTAAAAAGGGAAAGAAAATGCAGCTTTTCTGTATTTGCACAGCCCCTTACAGCTTAGGGCTGCAGCTATCTCCTAGCAATCATTTATCTTACATCAGTTAAATAAAATGTACCATATAAATGGGTTGCTGTGCACTGTCTCTGCAGGTGAGAGAGGGAACAGATGGAGGAGGATGCTGKAACACACACTTCCCAAAGAATCAGGTGTTGTCAGAGTGACTGCTMCTGGCATCTTCCTGGGGGTCTGTGGGAGAGGAATTTGGCAACCTCATAAAGCAGATCTATACCTGCTCTTTGCCTGGAGGGGTGGTGACTGTCCATGCAGATGATTTTTTTCCATTGGAGAGAATACTTTTGAAAAGGCAACAGAGGAGCTTCTGGGAAGCAACCCCCGGGTATCTTTGTAGAGTGGGAGGGTTCAGGCAGGATTTGGGAGGGGAGGATGTGCCTCGAAGGCAAGCAATGTATTTATCACATAGTGTGAATGCTGAAATTTCTGAGCTATCCAAGTATTTACGTATGCATGGCAACTGACAAGCTCTGTGGTCAAGTGAGATAAGATTAAAGAAGTATATGCTCTGGAGATTCTGAAAAGAGTAAGTGTGGTGTGCTGCTGGCTAAAGGGCTAACTTGACATGTGCCCTGACAGCACTTACGACTCATACTGGGTGATGAGAATTAGTATCAGAAATGAGATTTGTCTTATATACATTGACTCTAGGTTAGAAGGGGTGTTTTCCTGATTGTCTATGGGATAATATTTCAGACATTGATGTCCTAGTTTGTCTGCTTATTTTATTTTGTGTTTTTTTGGTTTTTAGAATTTATTTTTGATTTTTTTCTTTTGTATCACTTGTTTCTGGCATTGCATTTCAGATTTGTGTGACTCCTGTATTCAATTTTAGTCTTCTAATCTTGGTTTTGATATCCTAGTAGAGTCTCCAGAACCTTATGTTTCATTGTARTTTATTTACTGTTACCTCATTTTTTCTACATGTTGTTTCTTTCACACTTTTTTTGCYTTCTTGTGCACTTTTAGCTTGTCATTGTGAGACAAGACCCTTTCATTTTTATATAGAAGGCTTTTTTAGACTRTGCTCCAGAGAGTAATTTTGAAATAATCTGGGACTGCTGGTATGTTTAAAAGTTGCTTTACATTTAGCAATTTTTTAATCAGCTGACTTGTACAAGATAGTTTTACTACTTAAGAGTGTCTTTCTACTTTTATTGTCTGAAACAAGAAGTGCTTTGCATGTTTATAGCTGCAGTGTCTCATTTTACGTATTGTTTTCAAATACAAGTGAAAAGAAAAAGTTTTGATCTACAAAACAACTAAATATTCCTGCAAATATATTTCTGTGTGTGCGAATTATCTTCTCAATCAAATTGTCTATCTACAGCTATCAGTTCCAGAGGGTACTACTTAATAATCTGCTTTACACTGACAAAGCAGTTTGTCTTAAAATTTCCAATAATTTAAAAATCAAGATTAAAAACAGTGGAAGAACATGACATCACATTTGTATGAGTACAGTGGAATATCAAAAGGCTAAATGTTTACCAGATGAGTGGCAGTCTCAACCTCCTGACCTTGTCCCAGAACTGCCATTCCTTCCTAAATAAGTACTTTTTCCAAGGATGCAAAAGCAAAACCTCTGACATTTATTATCCTGATGTATGCCTCTTCCCAGGACATTACATTTCTGTGGATACATCCTATGAGGGTGAGAAAGCAGTGCTGTCCAGCCCTGATCTGTACTCCGAGGAATGGAGCTGTGTCAGACTGATTTATCAGATAGCGACAACTTCAGGCACCTCATCTGATCCCGCCAGGCTCAACCTGTACCAGAGGCAGGAAGGAGAAAGYTTTGATCGTTTGCTGTGGTCAGCCAAGGAGCCATCCGACAGCTGGCTCATAGCTAGCTTAGATTTAAGGAACAGCACAAAGAAGTATAAGGTAAGCCAAATTTTACAAGATGTCACACGCATTCTTGTGCATATGCTGGRGTGTCCAAATTCCTTTTTTTAATATATGCAAACTTATTTGAGCCCTGTTCTTGGCCTTCATTTCCAAGGCTGGCAGCACGAGTCAGCTGAGCCCCCTGTCCCTAGCATCCATGAGATAGCAGAGCTGGCATGAGGCAGTGCTCTGACCAGCAGTTGCGTGGAACAGCTCGTGGGGACATGTGGCTGACTGAGTCCTGCAATGAGGATGCCTCACCTCCTGGTATCCCTGTGGAGCTGCTGGTGCCCCTGGCAGATATGGGAACTCCCAGGTCTTGGATCTGCAGCTGCCCTCATTTATTCCTGCCCTCTGTGCCTTTCTAGAAGGACACAAATGCTGACAGAAGAGTATTTCTATCCAGAAACCATCATCTTGCATCACTCACAATAGCATCTTGGATAACCACAGCTGAAGACTATGGAATTCTATACTCTTATATGAAGTGTGGGAAATCTTTGCCTTTTCTCATTGTCCTTCAGCATGTCTTCTGTGCTTGAGGAAGAGCACTGGCTCCATCTTTAATGCATTCTGCCAAGCTCTTCCAGCAAAAGCACATCTGACTCTAAGGATGGTGGTTCCCTAAGGTGTATTTAATTTGTCTCCTGTTTATCCTGTTTAAATATTCAAGGTACTAAAGAAACTCTAAAATTGACAGTGTGGTTTATATTATCCAGCTTGTACTGGAAGGTGAAATGGGACAAGATAAATCCAGCAGTATAGCAGTTTTTGAAATCAAAATAACTTCTGGATATTGTATTGGTAAGTACTCTCTGCTCATCCCTTATATTCTCTGCACAAAAAAAAAAGCCTTGTTGGCAGTTTTAAAACTGGATGGAAGATCTGGGTTTAAAAAAAAGGCAATAGCTTTTTCCTACTTGAGAAGTACAGTGCCATATTCCATACAGATAATTTTTAAGCTAAGATTGCACACACTACTAAGTGGGKTTTTTTTCACCTATCTCTGTGATATATATAGACGTATTATATACARTAATTAATTCCAAAGTTATTTATTGTTCAAGCAGGAACAAGTGCTATATTTTAAAAAATCTTTGGACTGCTTCAAACACTAGACAKAACAGCTGCAGCATTATTTCTGCTTTCTGCCTGCTCATGGCTTCCTTACAGTGGCATCTTGAGGCTGTAGAGTCAAAACTCTGCTGATATTTACATTTACTGCTATTTCCTCATGACATTTGCTGAAAACTGCTGATGGAGTTCAAAAATTCCTCTGTCTAGGAGGCTGGGAGATCTTCCCATTTCTGTAGAGCTCTGGTGGAGTCCAACCAAGTTGTCACAGTTGGCTCTGTGRAGGAAACAAAGTGGTTGCATTACCGTTACGAAATACTAATCCTWCTTTGCTTCTGCCATCCCTGATTTACTAGTGAAAGTTCTGCTTTGACTATTTAATACTATAAGGCGGTATATTTTAAATCTGCTTTATTTGGTTCTAAATTRCAGCAGGCTTATACTGGCAAATGATGAAATGACAGAATGATCCAAAGAGGATGGAAATTAAAATCTTCTAAAAAATTTAAGAAAAATTGTGGCTAGGTTTGCTTCTAGTTATTATGAGCTCTTAAATGCTGTGTCCAGTTTCATAAATTAAGGTGCTATATGCACTGCCATATGTGATACAAGGTCACTGCTTAGCAATTTGCTCTTCCTATTTCTGTAATGAAAATGTGTGCACTTAGCTGGTGGTGTCTGCAATTGCAGAATGTGACTTTGAAGAAAATCATCTTTGTGGCTATGTGAACCGCTGGAATCCTAACGTCAACTGGTTTGTTGGTGGAGGGAGCATTCGGAATTCTCAAGCTATCCTGCCCAAAGACCACACACTTAAGAGTGCACTGGGTAAGCAATAAATGTAGAACAGAAATYTAGTGGAAAAATCTGAGTCTGTGATTCATGTATGACTGTCATACTGCAAWTTGTTATTATGCGAGTTCTTTCCATTGTGGGCTTGGGGTGGGGATGGTAAGAGTGATTTATGGGAATAAATAGGATTATGAAGAGGTTGGGGGATTTTGCAGAAGTTCACACAAAATTGCCTGCAACCTTTATGATAAGGTTGTTATGCTCTTTGCTAGGTTTCAAAAGTACTCAGAGGCAAGGGTAACATTTTGGATGGGAGAGGGGGAAAATTCAACTTTCTGTTCTCAAAGTGTGAGCCACAGTAAGTTTTAGATTCTTGTATCATTGTTCTGTACATTTGGCAGATGTTTTCTTTCCAGTGGCTATTGAGAAAATCGATTAGGTATTAAAACTTGCTTGGAGAATCTTGGGTTAAATTGTAGSTTAGAAGTTTTGTTTCTTTCAGTCAAATATGGCACTGTTAATACAGCCCCTCAGAGGCATGATGCTGGAAGAATTACTGGAATTTCAGCATTTGACTTGTATGAAATGCTTGTCCTGGACACCTTGATGAGGGAAGAGTTTATTGCACAGCTGTGAGGAAGGGTTGGGGGATAACTTCATCTTTGCACAAAGTACACAGCAGCTGATGGTCAGCACACTGTGTGTCTTGKACAGCATGATGCTTGCAGCAGTGCAAGGAGTCACGTCATGAAAAGCAGGGTTGATCCTCTTTCCTTAACTCATGCCGCTGTGCCTTTTTATTTTTTGCACAATTGTGTGAGTTCAGTACAGAGTGTCACTCCATCATTTCATCACCCCCTGGCACCAAAACGCTGGTAAAATTTTGATGGAAGTTTAACTTACCACAACTTCAACAGCAATGAATCAAACTCTTAATGAAGTACTGTGACAGGAAATGCTCCCAACTGGGAGAGATTGTTTTCCTGTAGTCACAGCACTTCYATTTCACATCAAGCCCTCACTGCTGGCCATTTACTGAGAAGATCTCAAGAAGCTCAAAGTCACAGAAGAACCTTCTTTCTTTAAAAAAATTGGGCTGTGGAGGTGCATCATCCAATGAGGTTGTAGCTAAACTATCAAATAAGCTGAAACTGCAGAAAAAAAAGTGAAGCCGAGAACTTCACAAGCAAGTGTTGCTGAAGTCATCAGTCCCCTGGCAGTAAGCAAACTGGAGGAGACCTGCAGCCAAGCAAGTCCTGTCCCCTCCTTCTGCTGGAATGACGTGAGAAGTGACATCTAAAGGTCTGAGCCTGCTGTGTGCTAATTACTGTAGTGGTGTCCATTCAAAGTTAATGATACAGCTTGCAGCGTTCAAGCTGAAGTACCCCACCTGTTTGATGCTTCAATCTTATCTCCAAGCTTTCTACTTGTGAAGAAACATTTTTTTGTTCATCATACACTGTTTGATGCTATGTTTCTGGCACGCAGAAGAAGAAAAACTGCAGATGCACAGCATGTTCGTGAATATAGATGTGTCCGATTTTTATTGAGATAGCATCCCCAAAATTAAAGTATTAGAAGCTGTACSCTTTGAAAATCCTGCAGTTCTTATTGGCTCATATTCATGATGGGRAAGGTATTCTCCTCATGTGTAATGCTTTTTTCTGTTTATTAACATCTTGCAAAAATCTTCTGTAAGGATTTTACAAAAAATGCCAGTCTATGCAGTAAAAATAAAACATTTATAAACCAAATCCTAGATAGATTGAGCAAAAATGTACAGTTTAAAAGCTACTTGACAATAATTTGATAGATGAAATGAACTGCTGTAAAATATGAGAAAACAAWTGGCTTATAACCCTGTTCATTTACTAGGGTTGCTTCAGTAAAAGTTGCGCTTGAAAAAGACTATATACTGAGGTGTTGGGAGGCAGGGAATTTACACAGTTCTTGCACATTTTTTCATTTATGAATGGCTTCCAAATGGCTTCCAAATGTTTATTACTTTTCAAATACAAAGAAATCTATTATTTATAATAATAATAACAACTTAAGAAAAGAAAGAGCAGAGACTGACTATTTTGCCAGTGGTATCTTAGCCAAACAATTTTGGGTTGCATACAGGAGGAAAGGGAAGGAAAAAAAAAAACCTTTTAGAATTGCTAAAATTTCCTAGGAAGCAACCGTTGCTGGCAGGTCATAGATATGTGTGCCTAGTTCCTGTTCTTCTCCTGATAGTTCTTGTACGTGGTGGTTTTTAAAGAGTGTCCTTACACCCAGGTTTTTTTTTCTGCTCATAGGTCACTACATGTATGTGGACTCTGTTTATGTCAAACATTTCCAGGAAGTGGCCCAGCTARTCTCACCAAGGACCACGACCCCAATATCTGGCTGCTTATCTTTTTATTATCAACTTAAGCAGGAAAGCAGCATTGTCTTTACTGTTTACTTAAGAGACATGAGTGGCTTTTATGAAGAGATCTGGAAAACCGACAGTTCACTGAATGCAGACTGGGCGCTAGCAGAAGTTGACTTCAATGCGCCGTATCCCATGGAGGTAAAGCAATCCTTCCTGCACAGTCCAGCTGTGACTTCAGGTTGCCTCAGACAGTCCCAACTCAGACTAACCAGGAATATGATGGGGACCATCCAGTATCTGAAAGAGATACTGTAAAGATGGTGGTGACCTTTTGGTTTCCTTTGTCCTTTGCATAAGGGTCAAGGAGGGGTCACTTTCCACACCCATGCTTGATTTTGAAGCCAGGCGGCGAAGTGCTTGATCAGAGTACCTTGAGACGTTGGAGTAGAGTCCGATTAATGTGAGGTTTTTCAGTTGTGACTGAATATCCTGAGTGTTTCCTCAGTTCCCTATTTCTGTGACTCTGTGATCCATTTTTGAGGATGCTGAGTATRATAAAATAATGCTTGCTTCTCATTGCAGAAGAAAAAAATTAAAACAATATTTGAAGTCTTTTCTYCACCTTATTAAGGTCTTGCAGTTCATGAGAGAAACTCCAAACTAGAGTCCTAACAGTATAGTAGTCATTAGAGGTGAAGGACAGCTCTTGATGTCTTATAATGACTTTTGAGAAAACGGTTGACTTTTTTTCCCAGTGTTTATGGAAAAAATACCAAAACTGAGAAGATTAAAATAAACAGTGCATGTTTATTATATACACTTATACATACTTACCTGTATATTTTACGCATATATGTGATTTTTTATATATATACACACATATACTCTCTCTCTAGATACATAAGCTCCTAATACTAGGATTACAAATAAATGATACTTGCTTTAATTCTACCTAAGCTATTTGTTAATTCACTATAAGCCTGCAGATTTCCAGAAGTTATTATGGGCAAAGCTAATTTTCATGAGATGTTACATAGCCCTTTWATACTCTATAAAGTCACTTATCATCCGTTTAAATAAATCATCAGACTTCAAGGGAAAGGAGGGTAGCTCTCTTAAGGCTTCATAATACGAATGGTAAGTGAATTACTGATTCAATAAATAAGAACTAAAAGGGGAAAGTCAGTCCTAGCACTATCGATGGAAATTAATTAATGATCACTTAGAGCTTGGCAACAATGTGGTTAATTTAGTGAAAATTTCTTCTCATTTCTTGGTGGCATTCAAAAATCCATACAGAATGTTGGAAACAATACTGGAATAATCAGCAAAGCACAGGATGTAGTACCGTTGGGTTGTATTCAGCAGGGTATGCAGATTGAGCACTCTCAGTTAAAAAAAAAAATTAAAAAAGTATTTTGAAAATAGTATCTAAGAGGGAGATGCAGATAATTAAAAGTATGGAGAAATTACATTAATGAAATAACAGTTTTCAGCCCCTACAAAAAAAGATTGAAGTAGAATATGGTGGACATTCTTAAGAGTCATGAAGGCCATGGGAAAGACTCCGTTTTTTCTCAAAATGTACATTGCTGTTCCAAATTCTTAATTAACATGTTACAGTTTCAAAATGAAACAAACTGAGGGGTTTTTCATTTATGACACAACTGTAGAACTCATTTCCACAACGTACTGTAGATACCATTATTTAGATGAGTTAAAAACTGATTAAAAAATTAATGGGAAAGAAAGAAACCATTATGAATATAATACAAGAGAAGAATTGAAAGCCTGCCATTGTTTTCAGTTCTTTCCATGGGTTCTTTCTCCTGGAAAAAAAGACACTAGGCTAGACAGGCCTTTAATCTGCTAGAAGTATTTTTATGTAATCTAACACAGTAATTATTTTAGGGACTATTTTATGGAAATAATATTAAAACTTGCATATAAATACTTCATTTGCTTGGAAGAGGTCTTCCTCTGTTTCATCTGGCTAAAGGAGATTRGTCAGGATTCTTTCATGAATTCTTCAAGTTTGCTTGCCATCCTTAGGCAAAACATCACAGGCATTGTTTTCACAGTAAAGAATCTCACTCTGAAAGCATTTGTCTTTATTTCCTTGTTGTGTCCCTGGGGTTGGCTTGTGACTCAGGCCTCTTCTCAGAGTTTTCCTGTATCTCAGAGCTTTGATACTTAAGAGAAGTTTTAAGACACTTCCTCAAGAGCTATAGATTGTCCTCCACTTACTTGAGGATATTATGTCCCTTGGGAATGACTAAGTACAAATATTGTTTGATCTTAGTGGTAAACAAAATACAGCAATAGCTTTCCTGGTTCTTAAATAAATTCTGTTMAGGAAATCTTCCCTGACAGCTAATGCCAAGTCACAGGTTTCAGGGTCTGAGGATGTTTACAGAAAACTGTAAAATTTAATATTTTMGTAGCAGAGTAATGACCACTGGGGGTTTTAGGCTCTTGATACAGACAGATCCTAGATAAAATTGAAGTTCTAGTCAGTACAGACTGATGATTGTGAATAGTGGCTTTGCATAATACAAGGGCAGAAGCCTTACTTCCATCTTTAAAACTGGTGCTTCATAAAGCAGAAGAAAAGCTTTGGTTCCCTTTGGTTTTTCCTTTATCTCAAGAGACCAAAGATATAGTGCCAAGGTCAGGCTCTGATTTATAAACCTGGTAAGTGATACAACTTAATTTGTCCCAACACTTGCAGCATTGTATGGGGTATGTGGAGTCTATCTGGGATGTCCAGTCAGAATTTGGTATTTCAGAGATGTGTATCAAAATTATTGTTGAGTGTATGGCAGATGAATAACAACTTATTATAATTTCTAGGTAATATTTGAAGTTGCTTTCAATAGCGCTAAGGGAGGTTATGTTGCCCTTGATGACATTTCTTTCTCTCCGGTTTACTGCAGGAATCAGACAGGTATGATGAGCTCTTACTTCTATTTACCTCCCTTGTTTTTCCCCTTTGCCTTACTGCTCRGAACTCTCTGTCACTATTTGCAATATTTGGTGCCATATATTCCTTTGATCATGMATTTGAATTTTTCAGCTATTTCTTTGAAGTGATCAAGAAAAAGGCTGTTTTATCCCCCTTTTTATCTCAGACTATCTTCTAGCTCTGCCTCCACTGCTGAAATATTACTGCTTCAGGAAGGTAGATGCCAGATACATTAGTAATCCACATCTCCTGAGTAAATCCATTGTTTCATTATCTCTTCAATRCCTTTTTGGTATCTGCTTTATTTTGCAACAAAGATCCCAAGTTATGTTTGTAGTCTTCAAGGGGTTGGACCTAWGTGCTTATCTGTGTTTTCCATTTTAATTTTCAGACAACTTATATGTRTTGAGGAATGGGATAAATTTTATAACACTTTCTGTGCCAATAGTTGAAGTTCATATCTAATCTGAATGGTTCAGAATCAGATCTAATCTGATAGGTTCATCTGTAATTCTGCCTGCTAACTTTGATTTTGAAGGTTGGTTTTGTGGTTGTTTGGGTATTTTTTTTTTTTGTTTGAGAAAATAAATAATTTGCTTTGTACTCTGTTGAAATGCAACATCTACTGCTTGATCCTTCACACTTATTATAATCTTCATTTATTCTGAGATGTTAAAAGGCAAGAGATCTTCATTCTCCTTGTATTCATCCAGAGCAGTATATATAACAGCAATAGGTTTTGCCTTATTTTTTTCTGGAAGTTTTGTTCAACAAAATATTCTTTATATTAGCTAATGGAGGAAAAGGTACCAGAGTACTAACCTTGCTCAGTAAAGGTTGAATCAAATAYGAGTTTAGTGCTACTTGGTAGTGCTCCACCTGCCTTTTCTTTAACTATGAAGGTAGAGGTGGGAGGCCATGACTGCAGGACTTAGATTTGGCCTATCTGAGACTGGAAAGAAGCTCAGGTATCACTCTAAAGCTGAAATGTTTCTTCTCCTAAAGCTAATTGCCTGTGTCCCTGTCCCTGCTGGAAAATCACTCTTAGTCTCCATGAAGGAGGGTCATGTGTGCTGCTGTAGGGTGATGTGCACTATGACCTGGGTCTGCGCTCCTGACAAAGCCTAAATTTGCAAGATAGCTTTGGGTTGGGTCCCTCCTTCCCCCAGCACCTTGCATAAGAGACTAGCAAGACCTTGAATAGTAGAAATGTTTTACTTAAAAGCAGCAGGGGGACTTTTCTTCAGACTAAAGCAAGTCCTGACCCATGAATCATACTGCAGGTCAAGAAAGAGCCATCAGCAGGCCTGGGGGGGTGTCTTAGCTTCATTTTTAATCAACTTTACTATAAATGGTTCAACTTTCTTTACTGCAGTGTTAGCATTGTGTGAGGCAAACTCCAGAGGAAAGCAGCCATGAGGTGGTACATGAACTAAAACTATTTAAATTACATACATTACATTAAACTACATACTTATAGCATGTATATGCACGTTACACATAATTACAAAAGGATTTTTAAGGCGTGCTCTTTAAAAACATATTAAATGTTGATCCTCAGTGTACACACAGGCACACATGAACACTAATTTTGTCCTAATACCTTTTGAATGAAGGAGCAGATGAAAACAAATGGTCTGAGTATCTTTGTGAATTATGCCTTGAAGGAAAAATCTTGTCTAATAAGTAAAGCTTACTATTGTTTTAGAGGAGCTATGAAGCAGGTTTTCTCTTGTAAGAAATTAACACCAACTTGTAACAGAAATTTGATAGCTTGATTTCAAGTGTGCATTGTGACTATGCATTATGTATGTGTAACACCTTTGCGCAAGCTTGTCTTCTGTAAAGAAAAGCAAGATGAACCACAGTATGGTTTGGCATCCTTCTGCTTCATATACTTATACTTATCACACTATACTCAACCTAACAGAACTTATGCATCTTTCCTTTAGGAACTCCTTTCAATCCTGCCAGTGCAGGCTGCAATTTTGAGGAAGATCTGTGTAACTTTTACCAAGATCAAAAAGATGGCCCRGGATGGAGCAGAGTGAAAGTGAAACGTAATGTGTATAGAGCAGGGGATCACACTACTGGGTTTGGTAAATCAAAATTGCTTTTTCCTAGAAGAGTCAAACAATATATAAATGCTCTATGAAAGGATATATAAACGTTAACCTCTATAGAATTGTGTAATTGATCACTGTGTTAAGTAACATCACTGGCACAATGGTTAACTTGCCTCACTGCAGTTCTCTGCCACTAAAAATCAGTGTTCACATCTTGGTCCTATCTGGAACTGTGGCTGTGTTTCCCCATGTGTAAGAGGGAAAGATCACCTACTGAATAATCAGGCAGGTCAGTAAATCAGAGTGTCTTCACTATACTGCTCTGGAGTTGCTGGAGGGTTGAATCCACAAAAAGATGCAATTAAATGTAATAATAGCTTAATGCATTGTTTTTATTGTAGAGGGAAAATGGCCTCTTAGCTCTTCTAGGCTTAGGATAGTTGTCATTTTTTAAGGGAAAACAGAAATGTTGTATAGTGAAATCACATAGTGAAAGGACTGTTAATAAGTTCTGAAATGTAGACTTTTTTGTGTGTAGCATATTAATGATGATAAATCACATGGGCTAAAGTCTCACCTCGCAATACTTGGTGCAGGGAATAATTGTGCCCTACCCTCACACAGTGGTAACCTTGAAACAGCCAGTTTTCCAGTGAGGCCAGCAGGCCAGGGAGTTTTTCAGGGTAAATTTGATAAGTGCTTATTTCTGGTAACATAGCCATATGCCAGTTTAGCTAGAAGCAGACAGGATGCTTTTGGGAAAAAATGTTATTTCCTGTCAGAGTGTGATAATCTATTTCTTGCCMGTTGGAACTGTTTTTATAACCAAAATCTGATGCAAACAGAAGCTGCTTTAATAGCAAATCAGCTGTACTAATAGCATATTAAATACAATAATTATGCTGTCTTGCAGGTTATTACTTGTTGGCAAACACAAAGTTTACATCACAGCCTGGGTACATTGGGCGTCTGTATGGCCCAACCCTGCCAGGAAACTTGCAGTTTTGTYTGCGCTTTTATTATGCCTTATATGGGTTTTTCAAGATGAGTGGCACTCTTGCAGTTTATATCTATGAGGAGAATCATATCGTTCAAGAAAAGATCTGGTCTGTYTTGGACTCTCCAAAGGGAGTTTGGACTCAAGCCGAAATCTCCTTCAAAAAGCCTATGCCTTGCCAGGTAAGAGCCAAATCTTCAAATCTGCCAAATTCTCAGAGGAGATTTCCCTGCCTTCTGTTCTCAGGGTTCTTTGTYACACAAAGATTAATCCTAAGTGAGATATACCTGCAAAGTGAATTAGTATTGAGCAGGCAGTGGTGTGTAGAATGTTTACTAACAGCCTGGCTCCCATGGGAGCCCCAACATAGAGGCTTTGTACCAGAACAGTGTGGTATTGCCCTGGTATCCTCAACTGTAGTCACAATATTGCTGGAGATTTCACCAAAGAAGCTCTAACAAAAGCCAGTTATGTATTGGTTTCTCAGCATGCTCCACATTCACTYATTTTTGTTTGCTTGTTTCCTATGTGATTTGCGTCACTGTCATACTCAATTGTAGATTTTAATGAATCTAAAAAGTATCATTAAGTTCTGGTCAAGATGGGAAGCTGATGCTGCTTCCCCAAACTCAACTAATGGGTTACAATATGAAACCAGAATTCAGTGTAATCGACAGCAGTGGACTTGGAGAATTTGCAATGTCTCGTTGGAGAGGTCATTATCTCAACAAGTTAATAACACATTGGTATTTGACATCACCACCTTAAGTCCTTAAGCCATTGCAATTCCTCATCTCCACTCTTTTTACAAAGACTGACTTTTATACAGATTTCTGTGCTACTTCTACAGATATAAATGCTGCTTCTGTAGTTATCCTGATTTCCATAACAGATTTTCACTATCTATCTGTGAATCATCTGAGGAGGACCAGATGGGTCACTGCATGTTGACTAGATGTAATAATATGATGAACATATGAATGGAAGCTTGTCTTGCAATTCTAAGTATTTCTAAATGAAAGACAAATATCTTAAGCATTTTGTCCACTACAAATTAGTTTTTGAAATAACAAAAACTAATCAGTGAGCATAAAAGTTCACCAAAAACCAGCTGCCTAACTGTGCTGAGAGGCAAATTTATGTTTAAAATTTTGGTCGTAGTTGTTGGCTAGTGTTCTCTGTCAGATACCCAACAMCTTAAAGTTTCAAGGGTTTTTTCATGTACTTTATGCATAAAACAACAGAACTTATAATTCCCTTTCAGCTGTTACAGAATCRGAAAAAAAATTATAATATTGCCCAACAAATGTATTATAGAAAAGTTTCTAATAGTATCATCCCAAGATATTTGCAGAAAAGTTAAAATGGCAAGTTTATTATTTCCTTTTGTCAGCTCCTGTTTAGGTATTTCTTTATTGCTTCTGGAAAAGTTTAGCAGCTTGGCACAATCAGTTGTATGAGTAGTGATGACATCTGAGCATGACTGTTAAAATTGGTTGACAGCCTTGGAGGTGACAGATTTTTTAGCATCAGATATTTACATGGAAAATCTTTTTCAACATGCATTTGTGAAGAACAACTTTTGTTTTCCTAGAAGTCAGTATAGCTAAAACAATTGTGAAGAATGTTGCCTCACTACTTCTGATCCTGAAGATATGCAAGAGGGAGAGGTTTATTGTCCTCTGGCAATTCTCAAAAAAACTTCACAGGGTCCTTCACATCTTGTGAAAGAAAGTCTACTTTCCCATGGAAACAAGTTGCAAAATGTTTCTGTTGAGGAGGCATTCCTCAAATATCACAAAATGTGAAATTTATTGGGCTTTACAGAAGTCAGCATGTGTTCAGCATACCATAATTCAGGCACCCCATAGCCAAATAACTATGTATTTGGCAGGGGGTTCAGTTTATAAAGTTTTCATTAGGCAAACAAGAAAATTGATGAAGTTCTGAAATACATGAATGTAGAAAAATATATCAAGGTATGTCTACAGATGGGAAGGTAGCATAAAACAGACAAATACTGCCAAAGTTTAAGCCTGTCTGCTTAAGGCAGAGGTTGAAAACCTGGTGTAGTTATAGGCTGTCTGCCTGTAATATTCAGAAGCAGGCTCGAATGAAGTTGCACAGTGAATTTAATTCAGATTTTTCTTTGCAATCCCAAGCCCAGCTCTTCAACCTTAATGCTTCTRAAAGTCCCTTCATGCTTTATTTTGTTTGTTTCTTCTTTTCTAAGCCAACAGAAGGAAACAAAGTATTAGTGTGTGGCACTGTATAAACACTCTAGTTATCTGTGAAGATATGTCTGCCTAGCACCTAGTGAAATAGCTGGCAAGAAAAGAAACACACATCTCAATGTAGGGCAGCAGTGGAGGTGCATTAGAATTGTTTTGCCTGATAGAAAGGTGTGGTGGGAGCTAACAAGTCACRGATTACACTTCAGGCTCTGGCTGAGAAACATTGACCTCTCTTGTCCCGTCTCCTGAAACCTGTTCTTGAGYCTCTTGCATTCTCACTGAGGCATCTTTATTTTATCTAACCTGTCCCGTAGGCAACAAACCACTCCTCCATCCCCAACTCCAATCCTCATCTTACTCCCAAGTCTGGACAGTCCAGTTTTTTTYGCTGTTCATGTCCTACTCTGTTTGCCCTGCTTGTCCCATTTCTTACAAAAGTAGTTTTTCAAAAACTAATGACTTGACAGAAAGTATAGTTCTGGCATAAAGACCAGACTCTGACACTTTTCTGCTCCTACTCCAAAGCCAAGGAGTGCTTAAGCTTTTCACAGATTTTTTTTTTTAAATAGGGGCAGAATAAACTCTTTTTCCTAGCCTTGTTCTCAGAAATGATGGAATGTTTTGGATTATATCTTCCAAAACAAGGCTGTAGCAAGAACCTAGCATGGAAAATCTGAGCTGAAATCATTGTGTCTTGGCAATGTTATAAGCAAGAGAAAAAACAGTCTTTTAGTGGAGAGAGATGGTCTCAGAATAAGATAGGGCTGCTACCTTTCCTCTAATAGAGATGTGGTGACTGATGTGCCTATTGTATTGTTTTCTGAGATGCACTGTATGTAGACTTAGATGGTCAAAAGTTGTAGGCATGTACAGCAATTTGGCTGAGCAACTTCTTGGTTACCAGGTGTGACTTTTGGATTACGTCAGCACCTGTGGAAGCAGTAAACAGTCTCCTGGCAGTTCTTTAACAGCCAGTCATGTCAGTGAGGCAGTTGTGTGTCCTGGAGGTCATAATAATTTTTCAGCCAGAAAACAGTTGGTCKAAAATAACTGATTACCCACATCGTTCATCTTTTTTCTACTATGAAGACTACTCCCAAAGCTTAGGAAAACAATATAAAATCCATCTAATGTGCTTTAGTTTTCATAATATATTTTTTTGCATCAGGACAATAAAAAGATTCAGGTTTTCATCTCCTGGTTTCTGTAATGGTTTTTGCAAGTTCTTTTTGAATTAGCTAACTGCAGTCTGGCACAAGTTGATGGCTTGAGTTCTGTGAGCAGGAAATGTGAAACTGGCCAGTTGGCTTTAATCTGATGCTTTGAAAATAAAATGTTTTAAAAGCTAGGCAGGTACGATCCAGCTAAGCAAGTCATAAATGTCTATACATACATACATGTATGTGTGTGTGTGTGTGTGTGTGTGTGTGTGTGTGTGTGCACATACTGTAAATACATATGCTGATAATGTTAGTAAGAAGGCAGGAAATTTAAAATCCTGATTTCTCAGTTTGTGCTTGTGTCATTGTCTCTTCTAGTTGATGTGAGCAGCTATGATTCCATACATATACACTGTATATTGATTTATACTGTGCCCAGGGAGTAAGTGTGAGAAGGAAAAAAAATTTAAAAATTCTACTATTTTTTAAAATCAGTTAAACCCTTCATGGTTTATTGTACAAGCCTCTGGAAGGGCAGCATGAAAACCTAAATTTGAAATAAGTAGATTATCTTCATTTGATTGAATGCACTGAAATTGATCTTCCATGCAAATATGTGTCAGGAAAATGTAAGAGCTAACTGAAAGAAAAATTTCACATATCATTTGCATCCTTGAGAAGCTCACATGAACTGTGAAGCAAGAATCTACATTTTTAKACATTCTCATATTGTGTTATGCATGTATGTATAAGGATATACACCACCACGGAAAGATGTGCTTTTCATGCAATTTCACAATGAAGTGCAAACGCCTGGATTAAAATGAAAGTTTGAGTGCAATTGGGTCTGCTTATATCAATTCTGTCATTTTGTCTAGATTTGGGTTACCATTTTGAAGCTCAGGTTTTCAAAAGCAAACATCTTGAGTTCTTTATCCATCATGCAAATTTTTGCAATGTTACCTGATATCGTAATGCAAGAATACCTTCCACAGGGTTCAAAACCAAATGTTCAGAAATGTAACTGACATAATAGTCCATCCTACTTTCATCAGAGTAGCTGTGGCTGCATTTTTGGGTTTTCATTCCTTAAGTACACTTTTCTTCCTCTCTGATGTTTTTTTCTTCATTTTCTTTACTTGAGTTCATCTGTTTGCTTTAACTCATCCTCTGTAACTAATTTTAGTTGCAATTGTGAGAAAGGAAAACGRAGTGGCTGAATGTTGCACTTGAATATTTACATGTTTTAAAACAAAGAGAGGAGAGGACTTTCTCAGAAYAACTAAACATTAAGAAACTTTGGATGCTTTGGAAGGCAATAGTATCCATACATTTTGAAAAGGATTAAATAAATACATGGAAAAGAGACCTCACAGTGACTGTAAACATAGTGGTTCAGCTGTGACCTCCAGTTCAGCAAAATCTTCAGCTTTTTTTTGCGTTGTAAGAGCTTCAGGGCTCGTTTGTTTCTTGTACTGTTTTCCCTAAACATCTGTTGTCACCTTGCTGTTTTCCTAGTACTTGATCTGAGTGTCTTTGGGCCTTTCATCTCACATCATCACTGTGGTGATGCTCAACATCAAATTGTATCTAACATTCCTCTTTGCTGCTGAGAAATCTGTTTCCTGCTTGTCCATCAAAGTCATAAGTAAATGACTAATTTTGGATAAATTATGAAGTCCTAGATCCCTGCAATTAAGTCAGTAGTATGAAAAACACAGTTCTCCTGTCAGGTGCCAATTGGAGGAGGCCAGACATCCTTTGAAAGAGTCATACTTGTGTCAAATAAAAGAGCTTTTTAGTACTGTTGCCACAAAACCTTTTATCAGTCTTCCCACAATAAGGTAGGCATCCTAAAGAGGCTGAAATAAGCTACAATTTTRTAGAACAGTCCTTCTGTCCTTCTCTTGCCTCTAAAATAAGAAACTTCTTGAAGAACCGTCACCAGAAATGCCTGTCTAAAATTAGAATGGTAGGGTCTGGAAACAGTAGGACAATGCTTGCAAAGTGTGAACCTCAGCTTTGTGGTGCTTAATATATGGTAATGGAAACAGCATACTAGAAACTGAAAAAGTTACTCAGGTTAGGAAGCAGTGCCTAAATGGCTTGCATTTTCACAGTAGCTGAGCGAGATAATGTGTTGCATGAAATACTGCAAATCTGCTTTKGGCATCTCTGATACTTAACACTTTCCTTTTTTTGTTCTGGGCATTCAATATTATTATGATACTACACTGCTTCCTCATCTGACAAGACTCTTTTGTCTAAAGGCAAGAACCTTTCCCTCTCATGAACAGAGCCAAGGAAACTGTTTCACTGGAATGAGGATGGAGCCTTACAGTAGATTTGTGGAATTCTAGGGGTTGGGGGGTCGGGGGGGATGGCGCATGAGAATATAAGTGTCCGGTATACATTTGTGTGCAAAGCAGTATTCTCTGCTAGGCAGTACAATCCAGCAAGAAGACATGAAGGATAAACAGCCTGTAGTGCTAGGTTTTTCTGTTAGCTTTATGTTTCTCTTTCATTGTTTGTTTCTGCCCTTGGACAGGAAAGATTTTCAAAAATATTTGTTCAACTGTCACAAGCTTATTACCAGTGTTATCCAATTATTTATGTAGAAGATTTCATATTACATTATTTTTCCCACAGAAAATTGTTGTGTTTACATGACAAGAAATTGAACTTGCCTGGCAAGTGCCATTTRAATTAATTYATTTTAAATGACAGAAGCTTGCAGATATTCTAACTTTGGCTTAGAGCTTACTTGTGTTCTTGATAAATGAGTTTGTGACTGTTTAAGCCAAAGAAATCCAAGCCATTTAAAATCTTGTTTAATTTAGCTAGTTAGAAGTAATTTGTTCTACATTATAAAATCTGTATTGAACAGCCCTGAGACAGTCAGAGTGGTTTTCCCATCCCCTGTGCTGGTGGTCAGCTCCTGGCTTACATGCTTACACAGCTGTTTATTTGCACAACTGACTGAAAAGTGAAAACTCTTTCAAACCTGTCTAGTGAAAACTCTTGACTGCTTCTTCATGTCATGTCACACTTTTGTTCCTGGTGTTCGAATTATTTTCTGATTTTGTGATACTGAGTTTCTGTCACTATGAGGAACTTACAAGCTGAAGCTTCTCAGGTAAAAACATCTCAGATTCCAGTACAATTGCTCTTCTTCTTTAAAAAATTGAACTCTAAATGTGTCTAAGTGACAAACTGAGTTTTGTGTCTACATGAATTTACCATATATTGCTTAAACCTAGGAATATTCATTAGAATGGAATAAGAGGAATTACCTTACTGCAGAGGCATAGCTTGCTTTAAAGTCACCAGATCGGGTCATTTTCATGTTTCCCTCTTGTCTGACCTGGCTCTCTAATTGAACCAGACATATAGTTTTTGTGATAAACAAGGAGGATGTGGAACAGAACATACAGGGCTCCAGAGGAATCTTCTCTCCTTTTCTCATATTTTCAGTCCAGCTCCCTCCAAACCYCCTTTAAAAAGCTTCCCCACCAGTCCTTCCTTACACTGGAGATACCTTATGGCTACTATTTCCTCTCCTCTAAAAGCACATTAGCTTCATATGAATGTGAGTTTTAAATCACATTTTGCTTACAGAGACGCAGAGTTCTAAGGATGAGAATTCCCTTCTTCCTCACCAAGTAATCTGCAGCACAGCCCAACAYGGTGTCTTGGTAGAAGCTTGCTCAACCAGCTATTCTCATCTGGCATCGATCATACCTGATACTATCCAAAATAAGTGCTGAAAAAAGATTATGGATACTTTGAGACTGAAGGCCAGGACCATTGATTAAGCACTGCAAAATAAACAAAGCTGCTTCCATAAAATGGGGCCCTAGCATCAGTTCCTGTTATTAGAACAAAAAGAGACATGAGAAATATGTTTTCTTTTTTTGGTAAAACAGGCAGAATTGCCTGCACTGGATAATGGTTTTAGTTAAGCCAAAAATGCATGCAAGTCCAGGAATATCTGTTACATAGCTTGAAACAATATTATGTTGTTCATCTGCCATGCTTTATGGAGAAAGAAAGCTGAGCACAAAGAATCCCCTAGTCTCTTCTCTGAGGCAGGAGATAAAGTAATAAAATTTTATTTTGGAAAAATTGATCTAGCAAATATTTAAATTCAAAACAAGAACAAATGCAAAGCATCATGAGATCAGTTCTAGCGAGACTGTAGGAAGGATTCAGAGATCTGACACAGGGTGAAAATAAGCAGTTGAATAAATCCAAGTTGATACCATTTTGGTAAGTAWAGTTCAAATACTCAAGTATTTCCCTTTATGACAGGGAAGTTTTTTAAAACAGTAGAAGAGTGAATAAATTTGACTGGTAAATAAAAACATTCTAGTCCATTGCCTAAAATCAAATCAAGAATGTAACAACAAAATAAGTTGAGGGAACTACAACAATTTCACTACATTTTATATAGTCTATGCTGAAAACTGAACATTCCCAAGTAGAAGCTCCCACACCCCATCACTGTGAAATTAGGAAGTCTGCTCATGGTAGCACGTCACTCAACACTACAAAAATCTAGTGGAAAATTAGTGAAGCTTAAGCTAAGGTGCAACAAGGTGAAGCAAAGGTGAACAAGTTTACAAGCGTCACTGAATCAGATCAATCCTTTGGTTGCACAAAGATTATTGGCTCAATAGCCTTTGAGAGACCACAGCTATTGTTGTGATGCATTTGAAACAGAGGGCTTTCTGCAAGAGCCAATGGGTAATTACATACCTTGTATGGAAAAAATTACTGCAATCTAAGAATAAAGAACTTAATCCTGCTCCCAATGATGTCAATAGGAAAGCATTGTTTAAAACATGATTTCACAGTGTGGAACTGTTGTTTCACAGAAGAGGACTGACTTCACCCTTACATGTGTGGTTTTSTGAAGATTCGTAGATTTAGGACTATAATATGTATTTAATTTATTACAAATGTTCACCAGAATGCTTTTATTAAAATTCTGGTGAATGATGTTCACGCAGTGTCAGTATCTTATTTTAYGCTTTATTGCAAGAGCTGCTACCATTTTTAAAAGATTGCCCCTGTGTCCTAACAGTGAACTTACAAAGTATGAAACTATTTTTGTCCTGTTAAACCTTGAGTGTAAGATACACTTCTACAGTGAGAAGAAAAAAAAAAAAAAGGAAAAAAAAAAGTGAGGGGAGGTGGTTAGGGTTTTAGGCTGCTATACACTGAGCAGTTGCACATTCTGCGTGGGGCACTCCTCAAATTCATACCAGTAGCAGTTTACAAGACAGATAATCCATAATAATCAGGATTGGTAGTTGATGGAACAGAAGAGTTTCAAAAATTGCTCTGCCCTGGGCAGCGTAATGCATACATGCTTTTTGGTGTAGTTACGTCCCAGGTTGTTTTATAAGCAGATGGGGTAATACTATTTAGCAAAGCAAATTACCATATTGAAGGTGTTACCAAGCCTACTAGAAGAGAACATACTAAATAATGCTTTAACAACTTTTAGAAGTCTTTTTGTATCCACATGAAACTTGTCAGTCAGAATTTAACCTCAAATATGTAACTGAGCTGTTTACAGTTGTTCCAGAATATTAAACCATTATAAGTGRCACTAACCCATCTCCCGTCACTAGCATAGACCTCAACACAAAGGAATTCGTTTGAAAAGCTTCTCCCAAATTATGGTCATAACCCCAGTGGTCAGACAGATGGTTTGGAGTAGTTAGGCCAAGCCGTATTTTCACAAAATAATTCTTAATATGTCTTCTGTAATTCAAATGGATCTATGACAATGTTGGCAGACAGCAACTGAGAGTCTTACAATTTCTTTACATTTTATTTTATTATCTCATGAGTGACTTGTATTTTCCATTGCAGAATTAATGTTTACTCAAAATGAAGATCTTGGATATTTTTATTAATATTCGCAAACTCAGATGAACACTGTTGATTATACATAGCATTTCCAGTCTCCTGCTCTAGATATCATGCATTGAGTCACTTATGAATAATTCCATTTTGTGCAGTGGTTTCAGTTCATCTSTATTATTCTTTGCTTTTTGCCACGGCCATTTCTCTTGCCTATTACACTGAATGACTCTTTTAAATTTATTTTTCCATGGATAAAACATCCTGGTTTTCAGGATAAGATAGCCGAAGATGTTTGAGCTATTCATGTTGGGTRTTGGGAAAGAAAAAACCACAGCAACCTCAGTGAGTCATGTTTTCTCAAAGACAAAAATACCCTCATAAAATGGGAATTGCATACAGAGATATATAATTCACCTATAAAAGTGGGAAAATGTTTTTTGTTGATTGAAAACATAYGTCTAGTTCCCACTGGAACTAGCAGTCATTGTTAGTATGTGCCAAGACAAAGTGGATTCATTATTCCTGTTCTGTAGATTTTAAAATTATTTATGCATTTGGAAAAAACACTAAAATTTCAGTCTTAACAGTGTTAGGTTTTGTACCTGAAAYTTCCTTCTTGTATCACAGGTTGTCTTTGTCAGCTGGTGTAAAAGCTTCTGGGACTGTGGACTTGTGGCACTGGATGATGTATCATTGAGCCTGGGAAGCTGCCAGGCTGCTGGTAAGACCATGTGTTTTTGTCATCCARCAGCTGCTATCCTTCTGAGTAGGAGTTCATCATACACCTTTATTTTCCAAGCCTATCCTACAGCTGCCTTCATCCCATTGTGTTTCTTTTTATCTCATAAGTATTGCATAAATCCTATTTTTGCAAAGTAGCAAACATCCAACAAGGACCAGGGTTACCAGCTAAATCCTAATAAATTTCACTTACTTCAGAGCAGTCATATATAAGTGAACAGTCCTTTGAGGGCATTAAAGTTTAAAATAAACCAACAGTCCAACTGAGTGAAAAGTAGTTTTCAAATAGCYTTTAATAAGCCAGCAAAGGACCCAAAAGCAGTCTTTTCAATACACAGCATTTTTTTTTAGTCTAGAAGTACAGTTGTGCAAAGTCAAGTCCTTTACCTGAGCTGCTGTTCTTTAATGAAGACAGAGAAGAACAGSCCAAGACTCCCTCTGTAGTGCAAGGAACTGAGTGGTTTTCATCAGCAAGACTTCACCTTCCAACATGCACAGACTATCTGATCTCTGAACTCACAAAACTCCCTCTTCTRTGGCTTTTTGAGGTTCAACAATGCAACGATTGTATCCTAATTTAGAAAACATTCTTATGAGGGAGGCACAATCTACAATCCTGTTCTTCTTTGGAATAAAGACATGCCTTTGCAATGGTCCTAATAGCTTTTTAATGACCTCTTTTGAGGGGACTTCATACATACAGGCTTACAAAACAGAGAGATTTCACATGTGTAAAACAAGTCACTAGCATTTTTCTAAGCCATTTTTCTAAGTATTTCCAACAGTTGCCTCTTTTGCCTTCCTGTAATTCCTAAGTAATTGGAAAAGGAACCAAAGGTGCAGAACTGGTATCTGGGTGTACAATCATGCCATGGTTTGTCTCAAATGGCAGCAAAACTGATGGCAGCCTGAAGAATGYCCCAGAGGCATCAAGGCTTCCTCCTCTGCAAAAGGTAGAGGCAATTCAGAGCGTCTGCTTCTGAATGACAAATTCAGATCACAGCAGAAGGCCTGACACGCACCTGAATTATATAATCTTTTGTATGATTTAATGGAATTGAAATAATGAAAATWCTCTAGTATTGCAGCTCTGTGGTCTGTAGTAGGCTTCAGTAAAATCTGATGCCAAGGGAACATTGGAGAGCTAAATGTAGTATTTGATTTCAGATTACAGAAACTCCACTCTTTGACAAGGCTCATTTATTATGCATGTTATACATGCTGGAACTCATTAATCTGCTTGGTGTGCCACAATAGTGAAGAAAATTACACTGCTAATTCTTCAACAGAGCCGTTATAGAATCATAGAATTGCTAAGGTTAGAAAAGACATCTAAGATCATTGAGTCCAACCATTAAAACCAAAAGATYTCATAAGATCGTTTAGTCCAAACCATTTTTGTGAAGAGTAATAAACTGTATGAGATATTTTACAGAATCCTAGTACATGTAACTGAGCTAGACTAGGGCACATACTTTCCCAAAGATGTGAAGAAAATTAAACTAAATTTTGTATRACAGTTTGAAGGTAGCTTAATAAGCTTGTGGCTATTATAAGCATTGTTAGGTAGCTRTAATTGATGTCTGCAGGTGAGGAAATGCAATTATGACGTGTGTGATATCTCACTATATCAGTCTAACGCATTTGAAGTTTTAAACTATGTCCTCTCTTTACAGATTTATTGCTGCCCACTCCTGGAGAATGCACTTTCGAAAAAGATGAGTGTGTGTTTACCCAGAAGAAGAGAGGTCGTGGGAGCTGGCAYAGGAAGAGGGGTCCAACTCCCACTTCTTACACTGGACCGAAAGGAGACCACACTACTGGGGTAGGTGAGTTAAATTCCAAATCAAACTTTCAAAACAGAGATTGACAGTTAATAAAAAAAMCAGTAATTAAATATTTTAAATGACAATCCAGAAGATAGACAAAGGCTGTACTCTTCCGTTCAGAAAAATCATTAATCGAAGAAATAAGCATATTCCACRTGGACTCATGAGTGCTTTTGAGAATGTGACATTTGATCTGAATTAACTGCAAGCCAGGTGGATGATTTGGTTGTCATGTCTTAAAGCCCTTTCCTTGGGAGATAAAGGGATAACTCTCCAGAAAAAGCTCCATCCAGAGTCCCAGCTTATGTGAATATTCCCTGAAACTGATTTTAGACCTATTTTCAGTCTATGTGGATCATTAAGTAGTCTGAGACTSACACTGAGTGAGGCTGATAGCCTGACTTCAGAACTTTTAAGCTTGTAGAGAGCCTTTTAAGCTTGTTCTAGGACAATAATTATTCYTTAGTTTGTCACTTAGCAGCAAGCTGTGCAAGTGGTTGGGATCTCTTCTCCATGGACACCTTTAGATTCAAACTTAAAAACCCATGAAGAATAAAAGAGATCCCACAAGCCCTTTGTCTTGAAAATCTGCTCCACAAGCTCACTAGTGTAATTTCAAGTATTTAGGCAGGTGGGGCCTCCATTAGCATGAGTGCCCAGAAAACTGCATCACCACCAACCACTGCCTAAAGTGCATCCTCAAATGTATATACAGCTGCCTCGAAATTCCAATGAATCAATCTCCATCAGACTGCAATTCTGGTTTAAGAGCAGCTATGGTATAGTCTTGCTTTGTATTCTTTACTGTGGCTGCGTATTTCARCATATACAACCAAATCTTTAACATTTCCAAGCCGTTAATTGGTGGAAGGCAAATTCATAAGCCCCTCAATTCATCATTCAGTTATCACCAACTAGAGCAAACTAAGGTGTGTAAGAAGACTGAGGAGCATCCCCACATCCCATCTGCTGCACAAGGCACCTGTTCTGTCTTTTGAGTTGTATGCTCTTCCAGCAGACAGTGAAATCAGATAATGCAGCAACTCTTCATGCAGTCCAATTGCTCCCTTTCTGTGGTGTTACCTGCCCATCTGTTACCACAGTTCCTGGGAGAGAGATTGCCTTCAGAGGGAGGGGGAATTCTCAAGGATCAGTAAGACAGGAGGAATGTTGAGAGCAGCAATAGCAGCCAGGGGATGCTTGAGAGTCTCTTGTGATACACAAGAGTCCTGTTTACTGCATAAACCCCTCTAAGCTGATTCTACYTTGGTGATAAGCAGCAGTTAAGAGAAAGGGTGAAAAGAAAGATTATCTACACCTGTAGGCCCATAAAGAAAAGGTAATTTCATGCAGTGTACTGGAGAATTCCCAAGATGGTTTGTACCAAATCTAGTGTAATTCATTGCAAAGACTTTGTTGTTAGCTATGCTTAAATGTTCCTTAAAAGTAAAAAATCAAAACCTACAGCYCAAATTACAAGCATAATAACTTGCCTTTCGTTGTAAAGATTGAATTATACTATAAAACTGTTTGAAAGACTAGATCATCTCTTGCCTTTATGAATTCAAACCCATCATTATTTAAGTACACAATTCTTACATCACATATATTAGAGTTTACAAATGCAGCAGTCTATGACTTACAGATCTTTATCAAAATAGTTTCAATCATAGGGATTTTTAATATAATGAGCATGTTGAGCATAGTAAACATGCCAACATAATGTACCTTACTTGGCTATTACTTTTGTATCTTTTTAAGGATACTACATGTATATAGAGGCATCTAACATGGTCTATGGACAGAGAGCATACCTGGTTTCAAGATCACTAAGAGGAACACCTGGAAAACAGTGCCTGACATTTTTCTATCATATGTATGGAGCTGGGACTGGATTATTAAGTGTTTATCTAAAAAAGGAAGGGGATGATGAAGACATTCCTTTGTGGAGGAGGACAGGGGAACAAAGCATCTCATGGCTAAGGGGAGTGATAGAATATGAAAGTGACACAAACTACCAGGTAAGAAAAACAAGCAAGAAGCCACCAAATTGGAATATTGAAGTAAACTATATGCAAGAATCCAAGTTTTACATTGTTTTAAAAAAACCCCAAACAACTGCTAAAACGTAGACGACATTAAATGGACAACTGAAGAATATGAAGTAATGTAATTTTTTACAAATGAAGTCAGGGAGGGATTTATTAAAGATGTGCATAGATTGCAAGTAGGAAAAGAGTTATTAATTCAAAATATTTTTTTAAGTATTTAAATGCTATTTTAAAATATTTAAATTTAAATGCCATAATTTTTATCAGTAGTGGAAGGGGATTTTCAATACAATTTGTGCAATTTCTTTTCCTTCAGCTGTCTACAACCCTGACTRCATTTGATACAGCCACTGAGCTGTGATAAAATGGCAGCTTCTTGTAGGGTAGTCTTTCTATGAAGGCACCAAGGAGAAGGAATGATGCAAAGCCAGAGGTCTGTCTGAAGGAAAGGGAAAAGGAAGGGGAGAGGACAGGAGAGGATAGAAAAGGACAGGAGAGAAAAGGAGGGAGAGCAAAGGGTGTCCCTTGAATGGGTTGCATGGCTATGATTTTTTTCAGTCCTTCCACTGGTGGGATTCATGAAAAGCTGTGTCTTACTTTACAGATTATTTTTGAGGCAATCCGGGGTGTGTCAATAAGAAGTGACACAGCTATTGATGATATTCTGTTCCAGRCAGGACCCTGTTTGGGTAAGTTTAAACGTACTTTGTGGGAGACACTGCACAATTCACAGTGTTTGTTGTAATTAGGTGGGTGATACTTCTTGAGTCCCCATTAATTGGTTTGGATTTAGTATAAGCCTGCAGGGTTAATGCAGAACTTTYACCTTTCTAATATGATGTGAGATCATTCTCAGAATCTCAACTAGTAAAGTGGCTGTAACACTTTGAAAAAAAAGTATGACTGTCCCATTTAAATCCAGCATGTTAATTACATTCTGCTGTAAGTATTCTTATGTATGACAAAAATACAAATAATTACTGTATTTCTTCCTTCTTTGTATTCCAGAAGTGGAAGAAATTCAATTCTCATCAGGCCATCCAGACAGCTTAAAYGAAATTGAGTATTAAACACAATCTGCTGAAAGGAATGAAGCACAYAGAAGAATTGTATGTGACAAACTGCACAAACTGCCTATTTTAAAATATGTTTCAAGTAAATACTGGACTGATTTGAATACACACCAATACATAGGAAGAACTCGGAGCGCTCATGTTCTTCACATTTTGAATGAAATTATTGACTCAGGGCCTCTTAGACCGTAATTTTTTTATATTATTTCCTCTTTTGCATCAGTTATTACATAAAGGCTTTCCATTTTGCACATGTCATTAATTTCTAATTTTTTTAACATTTCTGGTATATAAGTAAAAAGAGGAAATTCAAGTTGCACAATTCAAGTCCCATATTGCGTTACCTTAAATCTGCATTCAGTGAATGTTTTTTGTTGGGGATAGAATGGATGTTTGTTAAGAAAATTATAAATGTTTTGAAATAACAAAGAAAATAGTGTTAGCTACTAGTAATAGCCTACAGGTTAAGTGCAATTATTCACAATGACAAATCTCCCTGGGAGACTTAATACTCGGGCAATTTTTTGTGGTAGTGTATTATTTTATTATAACAAATACATTTGTCATCTTTGCCAATAACAAACTTACTTCTAGTGTTCAGCGTAATTCAGCATAAGCTGCTGGCCTGTGGAACTATATGAAATAAAACACTTTAAAGCCATACGTTTCCTGGGATGAAAATCTAGTCATTTGTTATTTTATTAAATAAGTTTGTACACTCACAGAGAATGCCCTTACACTTTACCCAACCACAGATATCTTGCATTTATATTAGTATGAAACTGAATTCACACATACTGTGTTTTTTTAATATTTTATGCATTTGTGTGTGGGGGTTAGTTTTTTTTTTTTCTAAATTACTATAACTTCCTAATAAAATGTAACTGAATATCATCTTATTGCTCTGCTCTAGATTTCGTACTAATCCATGTAAGGAGAAAGAACTGAATGTAATAAAATAGTCTGAATTCATTATTTTGAACATGAAGAGAATTAAACGTGTGGCTCACATCACTTAACAAAGCTGACAGAAAGCCATCTGATCTACTGCAAGAAGCCATATACTGAGTGGTAGAAATTATTGTTACAACCATATTCTGCTTCTTTCAGAACTAAGCATATACTTTTCCTAACAGCCTATAAGGATCAAAAGCACCTGGGATGGTCGAGGCCCTTGCATCTTTAGTAAATTTTCGTTTTAGCRACAGAAACGATTGAAGTGATTGTTCAATGCAATACAGTCAATACTCAGATATTTATTAACCACACAGATTGAAGCCATTTATGGTTTCCTAGAGAGAATTSATACCTGCCTATCCTAGCTACCCACAGTCTCCCTTCTCAGCTGCTTATGAACACATCACTCTTCCTATTATTCAAAAATGAAAGCAAACAAATAATGGACTGTTTCCTATGAATCAATACAGTTTTACAGTTGTTCTGTAAAGTGCATGCTTTGGTATCAATATTCAGCTCAAATTATCTAAGCAGAAAATAAGTGAAGTGGTTAAAACAATCAGGCTTGGTGGTTTTCCATATGTAAATGAAATGAAGCATGAAGTACAACTGTTAGACTCCTGTATCTAAAGATTTATTCAACTCTCCTTCACTCCATCAAAGAAATCAGATTTAGGCTGATAGAATAAAAACAAAAGTGAAGGACTCTAACATGCTAACAAACACTGAGTGTTTTCTAGGGACCTCAGTGCTACAATGATTTTATCAGTATCACTGAGGGAATTATTTATCCACAAGGTGTGAGGCATTGTCCTGACTGAGGGGTAAAAAAAGGAAAAAAAAAAGGTGTGTGGCGGTGGGGAAACGAAAGCAAAAAAAAGAAAGAGGAAAAAACCCACTTAAAATCTTAAGTAGGGAAGATCACCTTTCCAATCATTTTTGCTACAGGAATTAAAGAACAGAGGAAGAAATTGAAAGGTGGCTATCATTTACTTCAGTATCTACTGAGTATCAACTTATAGAATAGGAAGTTCACAGACTAGTGAAAGAACGGCTGCAAAACATTTTAAAACTGGGGAAGGTGCATTAAGATTTTTCCACTGTTGGAGTTTTATGATGAGATAAAAAAATATTCAATCGGCTCTGTCCAAATAGAAAAMTCTTCCTGCAATTAATTTCTGCCCTGGACCCATTTTTCTTTACTATTTTTTTCTTGTTTTCACTGCTGCAGTAGCAGTACCAGCACCACAGCAGGGCTAAGAACAGTTCTTCTGTGACTTGCCATATCAGGCTTGTTTAATATATGAAAATTTCTTCAAAAGATACTGAAGAACTCACAAGTAATTTCTTTGATCCCACTAGCGTCAGAATCTGTACAATGGAAATAAACAAGAAACCCTGAAAAGCATCTCTAACACCCCAAGCAGCAATGGGCTTGTATTTGATTGCTGTAAATGTAGCTTTGTGCTGGAGGGGAACTCAGCTTGTCATGACATCACTGAAAAGCCCTTTTATTCTCCTCCTGTTTAATACTGTGCTCTTGTTTAAAATTGATTATATTCTTGAAATGTTGTACCATTAATTTTCATTTTATCATTATCCTTATAAATTTAAAAAACAGTGGGCCTAATTCAGATCTCCAGTTACACCAACAGAAATCCAGAATAACAACATAAAATATCATTGGTATTCTGTCTTTGTAAAGTGAGTGAAACAGTATTCTGATTATGGTGTCACACCAAAAAAACCCTAATRTAAGTTTAACTTTACTATCATAGACTGCACTAAGCTGATGAAGCTCAAGCTGAGCACTGAAAGACTGAATGAGCAGGCATTTTAACATGCACCTGAGCACAGCTTGCCAGTGTGACTGCCCTTYACTTGGGATAACCACTGCTTTGAAGGGAAAGACAGTGTAAGGGCAAAGGAGAGAACACACTTCTGCAATATGAAAGACATGCAGAGTCTAAACATTCTGCCCCTCACATTCTGGAAAAGAGAAAACYTGACCCTCATTCCACCTCAAACAAAACACAAGCTGTGTTTTGTGGTGGATTCCCCTGCCACACGCCTCTGGCTGGGCCACTCATGAATTCTGCTTAGGCGTCATCCTTGATAAATGGCTCCTGGGAGTTAAGCTCACCCTCGAATTTAGAGCCAGCACGGTCTGTTCCTGAGAATTCTGCTGCCAAACCTGCTCCTGTTGTCTGACAGGCAATCTTGGAATGTTATTTATGTGAACCATTAGCATTAGGATCACAGAGTCACAGAACCGTGAGGGTTGGGAGGGAGCTCTGGAGAYGATCTATTCCAACCAGAGCAGGTGACACGGAAACGTGTCCATGTGTGTTTTGAATGTCTCCAGAGAAAGAGACCCCGSGACCTCCATGGGAARCCTGTTCTASTGCTCTGCCACCCTCAATGTAAAGAAATTCTTCCTCATGCTGAGGTAGAAACTCTTGAATTTTAGTTTATGGCCATTGCTCCTTGTCTTCCCACTGCGCACCACTGTAAAGAGACAGGCACCATCCTCTTGGCACCCGCCTTTGTGACAGTTGTGTGCATTAATGAGACTTGTGCTCAGTCGTCTCTAATCTGTGAGGCCAGCCGCTCATAACGTCGTAACCGAACACATGAAATGTACCGGCGAATGGCACTTACGCGCAGCGGAACGCGGAGCKCGGTACCAGGCCAACCCGGCCCCATGCAGGGAGCGCCGCCTCAGCAACAACCGCCGCAACGTCCGGCCCCGCGCCGYTCTCCGCCAACCAATCGCCGCCGCCGCCGCCTCGCTCTTGGGGCCAATCAAAAGCCTCAGAAGAGCTTAGTCCCGCCCCCTCGGGCAGCGGGCGCGCAGCGCGGGCTCGGCCTCCGCGGGAGGAAGCGCCGGGCTCGRGGGGAACATGGCGGCGGCGCAGGGAATGAGAGACGGGCGCAGGATGCCTGGGAAAGCTGGCGAGTCCCGCCGCCCCTTCGTCCTGGGCTCCATTGTGAGGATCTTCATGGAGAACTTTCTGTGAGTGAGCGGGAGGCGTTTTCTCCTCCCTTGAGCGGCCTGTCCCTTCCGCCCCGCCGTAAAGGGGCCGAGGCAGCAGAGCGGGGTCGCCGCGGGTACCGGGAGTTGCGGAGTCTGGAGGAGGGATTGCGGGAAGCGGTGTCCCCTGTTAGCTGATACCTTGCTCGGAGACGCTGCTATGTGGATTATGAGCTCCAGGGGTTGTCAGCGCAGTGTCATTTCCCTGGGGGCGCGTTCCATGATGCCGGCCCGCTTTCGCCACAGGTGATGGGTCCTGTTCGTGCAGTCTCTGCGTGCTCTTTGTCTCTCAACTAGTGGTTGCCAAGCAGTGGGGCAGGGGAGAGTGCAGAAGATGCTCTTAGGACATCTTCTTAGATGCTCATAGGACATCTTCTTAGATGCTCTTAGGACATCTTCTTAGATGCTATTAGGACATCTTAGGCGAGGACAGGCCTTGAGAACTATACGGATGAAGTGTCAGTGCTCTTTGCACGTGTTTTTTTCCGGATGCTATGTAATGCAAATACCGTTCTATTTGGCCCTGATGTGGTTGCTAGTAGAAGTTGTCAGGCCATTTTTTTACGGCTCTATGACAGCCCTGAAAACCTTCAGTTGTGTAGTGCRTGGGTCACATGTTAGATGTTAATTGAATCTTCCTAGAGAGCAGTGTAAACTCTCATTTTCAAATACCTTCGCTTCCACAAGTGCGGGGTTTATAATACTGTGTTATAAAGCCATTAACTGCTTTGTATTCCTCCTTTGGTGTTTCAGCTCCACGGTTCAGCAATAGAATGTCAGTTGATGGAATTCTTTATAAATTTAGGGTGTTAACTTGATGTGAGTTTGTGTGGGTTTTGTGTCTTCCCATAGTTACTATTGCAGTAGGCATGCTGGGTGCACATGGAAAAAACCATGCAGTTACGAAAAAACCAAGCATTAATGATGGGCTAATATGGTAACTCAAGAAAACTATTGCATGGTCAGTTTTCTGTGTTCCTTTTTGATACATAAATAAAATTATACTCTAGTGAATTCAATGCAAGTGTCATCATATTGCTGGATTTAATTATTTATGATCACTTATTTTAAAGAAACTTCTAATGAGTGTTCTGGCTGTTSGGAATGTATTTCATCGTGTTTCGCTGCAATGTTAGATTTTACTCTTGGTATTTTCTTACAACATAGTATTTCACGATTGAGTCTAGATGAGGTAATTTTATCTGTTTAATGAAATAATGAAGTATTTCTAAGCAACTTCTCTTTCTTAAAAGATAATGTAGTGTTTTAAAATCCTAAAACTTGCTGTGTTTTCCAGAACATACAATGTCTGTGAAGTGTATCCAGGGCCCAACCTGAACGTGGTTGTAGGTGCTAATGGCACAGGCAAGTCAAGCATTGTTTGTGCCATCTGCCTGGGACTGGCTGGAAAACCTTCTTTCCTAGGGAGAGCTGATAAGGTAACTATTGGTTTTTGTGATTTTCATGTTTAGTGAAGTAGAGCGCTGTCCAGCAGAGGGGGGGAAAGATTGTCTTCCTTGATTTGCTTTTATTTTTATAAAAAATAAAGTGTCTGAATTGAAGCATAAATTGGTACAGAGACAAAGGGAGGTTGTCTTAATTAAYTACTTGCTGTCTTGGATAAATTATGAAATGGAAACACCTGAATTGTACTGCAACTTGAGTTGACTAGAGGTTTTATTTGAAGATAGCTAAGCTTCCACAGTGGGGTAGGAAAATGCCACTTAATGGTCTAAACATTTGATAAGAAGTACCAGCTAAAGGAGAAGCAGACAAAGTCTAAAATAAATTCCCAAATACATAGTACCAGTAGAAATAATATACTCGTAATGTGTCTGGAGAATTCAGCTAAAAGCATAGAGGCACTGATCTTTGATTTAAATGGAATTTGGATTGCTCTGCTCTGTTTTCACTTTTTACTCTCAAGATATCATTCATTGTCACCATTATAGGAAGTTTGTATTTTGAAATTTTCAAAGTTTTRCACTTGCTTTATTGGATATCCTTGCTGAATGCAGTTTATCTGAGTAGGTCTTTAAAGCAGTAAATATGGATGCCTAAAGGATTGTACATATTCTCTTGTATCTGCTCAGTCATGAGTAAATGTGAATTGTAAATTGACTGCCTAGCAGTACTGTGTGTTGGTATTTCTTTTTTCTTTTCATGTTTTTTTTTTGTACTATTAGAATTGAGGGTTCTAGTACAGATATTTGGCAGTGTTTTTTCCCTTGTTTTGCCTTTGTTCTCCAAATTTGTGAGAACTTCTTCCTGTCTGTGGATCTACTGACCATAATTTGTTCAGATTTGGAGGCTGAAATTGACAGAAGTTGTTTACTAGAGGAGGAATTTCTATTGCCGTGGAGGATAATAGTGTCTTCCTTTATTTTTCGTTAGTGCTTTATTTTGCTTTTAATTTTAAGTTTTCAATAAAATACCCTGTTACAGCAGCTCTGTTAAACAAATGCATATTCTTGTAAGATACTACATTTTAATACACTGTTATTCTGCAATAACAACTTCTAAATTAATTTTGTAGATCAGTCTCTTTGTGAAGCAGGGTTGCATGAAAGGCATGGTGGAGATTGAACTGTAAGTAGTAAAACTGTGTTTCATTGTGCACTTGTAATTGGATCATTTCCCTACACAGTCATTCACAAAGTTGTGACAAAAAGTTTTGGTGTACAGAGGTCTGTCTTTAAGCTGGTGCTTTAATTTCTCCTTTTTTTTTATTCTCCTAGACTTCAGAATATTAAGTTTAAATAATTATTTCACAAGACATAAGCAGTGATGGCTACTCTTGATCTGTCTGAAGCATTTCATCTTGTCTTTAAGTATGAAAAATGTATAGCTAAGGATAGATATTGTGTATGGTATGTTTAGCTTTTGATTACATGTAAGATTCAGATGATTCAAATTTAGTCTGTACTGCCATCATTACATGGTGRTTGGAATTCTTTTTACCGGAAAAAAAAGGCAAGTCTAGCCTTTGAAACAGATTTTTCTGCCATATACTGGTACTGCTGGTTRGAGGGGTTTCCCTACATTCTCACTGAAAATATCACATATTGACACAAAAGAAGTAAAAAAAAAGATCTAATTCCGTGTGGTACAGTCTTGTGCATAAGCTGTTGAAAAATAGCAATTGGAAATAATTTGGACTGTAAAATTCCGTTAGTAGCTTCTGGCATAGTGCAATATTGCACACTTCATTTTTTGTGGATGCTGTGGCACAGGTGATTTTAATAAGCCTTAACGTGGTCTGTTGGCCCTAATGAAGCAGAAAATAGAGACAGTCAACTGATTCATAGCCTGTGTGAATTTGTATAACAGTTGGCCACCCTGATCAGATTCTCTAGAAAGAAAATTTTATTGAGGAAAAAAATGCSTCAGTAGGCCTTGCAAAAAGTCCTGTCGATTTTTGTTACTGTGGGAGTGATCAAATAAGACCTTCTTTATTGGCCGAGCAGTGGGTTCAGGGGACAGGATGTCTTTCAGGTAGGTGATTGTTTTTACATAGGTATTTCCTGGTGCTAGTTGAAAGTCTGGAAAGAATCTGGCAGTCTGTGAAGATTGAGCRTTTCATGACTCATTAGACCTACGAAGTCATGGTTGCAATGTAGCTGAGTCCTCTGTCTGATTGGTAGAAAATATTTAGATACAACATCTAGGCTGGGAGACCAATCATGCAGAAGATGGCTTTTTTGACAGGAATTAAAAATTGAAATTCTTTATTGCTTTTGTTGATTTTGGTTCTTGAAATGTAGCTAAACTCAGATTATGGTAGTAAAAAGATAATAATTTAATGAAAGAGAGGAGCATGGCTTTGTAGGTCTTTTGAAGGAAGTTTGGTAAATTAAAATGAAGTGGAGCAGCAAATAATATTCAGTAATCAAGAAACAGGATCATACCCCTCTGGTGCCTAATCCAAACGCAGGCAGCAGATGTGTACTCACTTCTACATTGACCTCTGGTTTTAAATCTTCTGAGGTACATGTCCACTCTACAAACCTATAGCCTCCATCCTTAACACTGTGCTTAATAGGTRCTAGACAATTTTCTAAATGAGAATGGTGAACCAAAATTCCAGGAAATTGACTTGTTATTGCTGCATCTTAACCAGACAAAATTTTTGGAAATAGGTATCAAATTGAAGAACCAAATGACAATATGTCGTTACTGGTTTTTAAAAGCAGAAAATTAAAATAAATATGTATTTTTTGTGCTGTATGCTAATTTTGTTCTCAAATGGAGTATATATACACAGCTTACTGATTTATTTCTAKACACTAATACTTAAATAAAAGACATACTATACCTCCTTCATACCAGTTTTAAAACTTAGTAAATCTCACACAAACTATGCTTTTATAGAAACTTTTCACATTCTTAGCAACTTACAAGAGTTTCATACATTCAACACGACCATCTCATTTGTATAAGTAACTTCTTCTGAGTTAAGATTTGCAGATATTCTTCATGTTTCCCATGTGAATTTAGTTCATCACTCAATGTTTTCTGAAGCATGAAAATGAGAAYCTGATGCTACTGTCCAGTTAATTTAGATTAAATATTTAACTATTTATGAAGTCTAATTACACTGTGACAATTGGTAACTTTTGAAAGTGCAACACTTTTCCCATACACTTAAAAGTGTAAACACTTCTTCCTATTAATCAGGTGTAAGTCACCAGAGAATATTATTATCGGCCGTGAGATTCATGTCGTGAGCAACGCTTCGGTGTGGTTTATCAACAGAAAGCCAGCAACCCTGAAAGCAGTAGAAGAACAGATTGCAGCCTTAAACATCCAGGTGGACAATTTGTGCCAGTTTCTTCCTCAGGTATTACTTAATTTTGAAAGACAGTGGTTGCAAATGGAGTACTGTGCTTAGAGAGGATGTTGTTTCTGGTTATATTTAGTAGCACTTCAGCTGATTTGATAGGACGCCACAAAGAACAAGAGGGATGAGGCAGCATGGCTGCCTCATGTGATGGTGAAAGAGAAGAGAAGCCATGTGACCTTTTAAGCTCGCTTCTTGGGCAGTTTTGTATCTGTTGACTCTGCAAGGAAAGATGCTGATGATGAACACCTGTCTTGGTGTTCAAGTAGCAGCACTTTTTGGTAATACCAGCAGTTTCTTGAGAATAGGATAAAGATACATAGGATCAAATTATGTAAGAGTCAAACCATCCTAATGGAAAATAAATCTTAAAGGAGACATGATTAAAGAATACTTTCAATTTCTGTGTTTGAATCCATGCTCAAGCAGGTCAGGATTCTTGTGCAGGTAGCTAAGTTGCCTCAYGTTGCACCTTAAAGTTGTGACAGGTACCTTCCCAGTTCATGTGGATCATCAGGAATGGTAGAAAAAGAAAATCTTTTCAGGGCCTAGCCACAGGCTTACTGTTGAGTTCAAGATGACTTGCAAAAAATTATGAAAGTTTAGAAAGCTAATACTGCAGAAACAAAAATACACCAGATGTTTGGTGGTTCATTTTCACTTATGTGCTGTATTTGTTCGGGACGTTCAGCATATTCCGGTAACATAACTTGGTGTTCAAAACAGCTTTTTCATTTAGCACATAAATGTCATTTCAGCCAGTATTACTGTGTTGGTTGTTTTGGTTTATTTGTTCTCTCCCGATATATCATCAGCAAGCGCACTTTTTGTATCAGTCTGGGTTCTTCTGTGTTTGACAGCAATACTTCCTAATAGTGTTGCCTCCCCACTTTAATAATAACTTTTCATGGCTTATTTTTGAGTTAGTCATAGTATTTATACTGCAAGGGTATAGCTTCAGCAGCCTGAGAACAAATACTCCAGAGAATTTGGTTGCTGCTCTATAAAGTGCTCATTAGCTATGCCAGAGCTATTTACCATACAACTGCAAGTCATGTGGTGTTTGTGATAAGTATATAAGTATGTTGCAATGTGTAAGTCAGGTATTACTGTATTGCACTGTTACAGCTAATTCTGTATTTTTGTAACTTCTAAAAATTTTGTAGGACAAAGTTGGAGAATTTACAAAACTGACTAAGACTGAGTTACTCGAAGCCACCGAGAAATCCATTGGTTCTCCAGAAATGTACCAGTTTCATTGTGAACTGAAAAATTTCAGGGAAAAGGAAAGAGAACTGGAGGTAAATATGTGCTTTAGAGAGCAGTGACTGTAGGAAAAGTAAAGTTTTACCTTGAAATTTTACAGAATTAGAAGGTGGTATTTATTTACAAAGTCTGTGGTAAGTTGATTTTATAATAATGCTTATCTTACCTCAGAACTCATTCACTCTGATGCTCACATGCTTTTAAGTACAAAGACGTGCGAATAATCTGGACACAAAAGACAAGAGATGCCTGTTGTCAAGTACTCCTCACTTCTCTGGAATTCTTGACAGGAGCAACTTTCCTAGACAGATATTTTATGCATTTTATAAGTCATTGGCTACTATAGTACGGTCCTTTGCTTTAGTGGTGCTCACTTTCTTGAAAACGAAGAGATAGACAAAGAGGAAAGGAGCAGTATTCTGGGAACGGTGTCTGTCCATAGCCATTCTTCTATTCCTTTATTCTCCTATTTTTATCCCTTTTGGATGGTTCCCCTCTATTTACTGCTGTATTAAAATGTCTCCTCTAGTGTTAAATATCTGCTTTAATGTACAAGTGAGATATAGACTGTTTTTTGAGAAGTGTTTTCACAAAATAGATATTGTAAAACATGAAAATACATGTTACAGAAATTGTGCAGAGAAAAAACCACCTCACTGGAGAAAATGAAACAGAGAGTTGAACGGTACAAACAAGATGTTGAAAGATACCATGAATGCAAGCGCCATGTATATTTAATAGAGATGCTTGAGAGGAAAAGGCCATGGGTGGTAAGTTTCATTTTTAGTGTTTTTTTATGCCTAACCCTTATTCCATAAGATTGTGAAATTGTGAATAGGCCAGAAGTTGCTTTAGAAGAAGTGTGACCAGAATAATTTGAATAGCATTACAATTTCTCAGTGCAAAGAGCCCAGGTCTTGAAATACTGTTCTTGGCCTAACTGTGATGTTTGCTTACATACCTAGTGTACTGAATAAGTTGCTTCAGAAGTAATTAAAAGCACTTGGGAAAGCCAGCAGTACTCTTTTTATCCTGTGCAGAGACAAGTGGTTTAAATGCTAGCCAGCTGTAATTCTTCAGCTGTAATGTTTTTTACTTTTTTTTTTTTTGTTCATTTTTTTCTACAGGTTGTGTTCTTAATTTATTAGTTGAAGTTTGGTGTGCATGACATATATGTCAGTGTATTTAAGTTGCCAATCTCAAAAATATTAGATTTGGACAGAGAAATTTTAAAACGAATTTGAAAGAACCTTGAGTAAAGGACAGGTAATTTACACAAAGCATAGTAAGTCTTTCTGAGGAGCATTTTGATATTAGTTTAGTGTTGAATGGTCAGTCGGATTAAATTATTCTAAGCAGTTCAGTCTGGTGAGGATTTCAGTTTACTGAAACATTATGTTGTTTGCCTTGTTTGTGAGCTTTATAGAGCTTACAAAATACAGATCTAGAACTTTCAGAAAGCTTGATTTATTATTTGTGAAGAATGTGGAAAACTTACTTTTTGCAATTTTGCATGTAACAAAACCTTACATGGCTGTACAAAGAACATTATGGCCTATGCACCTTGAGCACCTGGGTTCAAGGGATCCCATCATTACCTTAAAATCTTTTTGCTGACAGTAGAGGGATTTGAGAATAGCACTTGTAGTAGATGGTGGTAGGTGCTAAGGAACTAGGGTATGTATTCCATGATACCAGTACTTAGCTGAATGATGAGAGTTTTTCCAACTACACATGTGTAAACCTGGTATTGCATAATTAGGGTAGACTGATACGGATTGTTCTCTRTTGTAAGATACTTCCATGTACAGAACTCTAAATGCTGGTTGGCAACTGACAGAAGAAAGCTAAGCTAAGAATTTTATCTGCTGTAAATTAAATTGGCTTCCACAAGTTAGAGAACATTGCTGTTAGTTGTGATTTATTTAAGTATGTTCAGTCAGACTTAGTCACACCTGTGTTCTGTACAGTTTGTGTTGCTCATATGTTAAAGGCTTTCAATGGGTGCAGTTAATTAAATGTAACTTTTTGGCCACTGAATCCATAGAAACAATGTACTTTGTTGCTTGGGTGGAGTTCTACTTGACAGTAGAGGATCAGTAGTGTATAATAGTTTGAGGGAAAAGAGAACTGGGGGTAAATAGTGTGCTTTAGAAATGCAGAGAGCAGCAGCTGTAGGGAAATTGTAAGAAATTTTAACATGAGATTTCCACGTGCATAATTTACAGTTGAAATCAAAGGTCAGAGCTAAATTTTAAACCTAATCTTTCAGCTAAGTGAATATGTAATCCCTTTACCTCTGTAATTTTGTAACAGTGGCTGCTGATTGTGCTTCACAGAGTTACAGCATGTTTGTTAAATACTTTCTGACTTTATGAGAAAGATTCTATGAAGAAAGGCCTTGGATTTTGTAACATAGGTTGTTTTATCTGTGCCTAATCAGGTTAGTTAMGTAACTATGAAAAAGTGGTAGCAGATAAAGCCAAGTCATCTGTTACAGAYAGCACTTCCAGAGTGTCTTTTTTAATTATTATTATTACTATTATGCTCTATTATGCTTAAGTCTTGGAATAAGTTAGGCATATGCTGTGAATTAGGGGCTTTCTTTAGTGCCTACAATCAGCTTCCCCTTCCTCTGTCTCCCTGCATACATGACTACTCTTTGGTCTAGTCTTCTGAGCATCTTACTTTTTTCTCATGAGTGCTTCACTGTCATGGAGCATAATATACTTTTATGTTTCTTTGTTTGGAGGGAGCTGGGGGAGGTTCCCCTTCTATTTTTTTCATCCTTTTTTTTTTTTCTCTCCAGAGGAAAAAATCGCTAATAATGCCTCCTTCAGTTTTTCCCACCAAGATTCCCACCAAGAACCAAGTGGGGGTTCTTGGTCACCATACTGTTTACCCTCTCTTTCATCTTAGGAATGCATCTGCAGTTAAACTTCCTAGATAGTGATGGCTTTGGTGTTTGTGGTGTGTGGTGTTWTTTTTGTGTTTCCCAGAAGTCTGTTCCCCTCTGTCCCCATGGTTTGCTTCAGCCGTGGTTGTGTCTACTACTTGCTCTGATGATCTGTCCAGCTCCTTTCCTTTTGTTTCTCCCAAAGTTGTTTGTGGTTATTTGCTCCTTAGCTCACGTAGTCTCAAACTATGAATGGGAGAGGGGTTAAGGACTTTTTTCCACAGTGCTCCCAGATGGACTCAGAGGCAAAGTAACTGCAGACAAATGGGATGTTTCTTCTGCTACTTAAATAGCATACTATTTAAGAAGCATTAATTATGTGTCSTCGCTCACCAGGGACTGAATGATCCCTAGAGTTCCTGATCATTGGAACTAGTAACATTACTACTAAAGTAGTTGCTCTAATACTAGTTTCTGAAGGAGGTTTTTGTTCTAAAACTCACGAGCAATTAAATAAAATGTTTTGGACAGTATAAAATACTGGAACAGAAGACAGGAGTTTTTTTATTGCTTTATTTTGAACTTCTCCAAGGAATATGAAAATGTTCGTGAGCAGCATGAAGAAGTGAAACAAAGCCGAAACCAAGTTAAGAAAGAATTGAAGCGTCTGAAAGAAATGCAGGCCCCATGCTCAAAAAAAATCCAAGAAGCTGAAGAAAATTTAAAGAGTCTGGATATGAAAATCAGAGACAATGTAGGTATTGAAGTTCATGTTTAACATAGGTAATATTTCAGGTGTTCTGTGTGCAGCTTGTGTGTACAGTAAAATGTGAAGTAACCCTTTCTCATAGTGTGTCGTAATGATGTTTCATCAGACATTTTTCTGAAGTGCCTGTGCCCATGGTTCTCAATGCCTTCTCTTCATATATTCAAGGAAACCTTTAGAAGCAATTCTTTAATCTGCTCGTGGTTTCATTAAAATTTTTGTAATTCTCTTCATAGTACCTTTTAAATCTTCAGAGATAATATGTTAATATATTGTTTCCCCAAGTTAGGTATTCTGTTGCATTAGATATCTGTTTTCATCTGTTCTGTAGTTTGGGTTTGTGGATGCTCTTTTTATCTTCTTAAAATGTGGTTTATTTAAGCTAAATTACAGCTTTCCTGGCCTAAAATCATTCCACTAATATTGAACATAATTCCACAAGTAGAACCTGATTTTTTACTTAGACAGTAATCTTCCATCTGTTACGAATATTTGTATGCATATGGAAATTTAATGGTAAACCTATATATGTGTTACCATTTATGTAAGTTTTTTTAACAACTACTCTCCCTGGGTTTATGGAAAAATACTATTTCCATATGAAAAATAAGAGTATTGTAATTCTCTACAGGATTTTTACTATTACTATTTGGACTGCAGACGTCATTGTATGCATAAGCTGCACAAATTTGCAGTGGATAGCCAAAATTAGATGGTCAGTGACACTGTTTGCTGCAGTGAATTCTCTTTGAAGATAAGTGACCCACTCAGAGGATGTGTAGAGGACTGCTGCCTTGAAGCATCTTGTGGAATGATGGTCTGAAAACTTCAGTGKCATTGAATGCACTACTAATAAAGTAGTCATCTGTTTCCTCTTAAAAAAAAAACAAAAACACACACCCTTGCCCCAGACAAAAAACAAACCCAAAATCAAACCAGAAAGATCAGACAAAAAACCACGTTGTTGCTCACAACGTGTTTTTGTTGTGATGAACACTGTACCAACAATATGAAGTACTCAAGTGCCTCATAATGATAAGAAAGTTCTTTGGTAGAGGTATTTATTTAGATACTGCATTCCACATTATTACAAGAGTTTACTGTTCTGTGAATCAGAATACCTAAATGTTCAAAAATGTTGAAGTTTCATYGCAGTGGCCTTTTTTTGGTGTGGTTGGGCTTCTGTTTTGAAGGTTTTTGTTTAAGGGTAATTGTACTTTCTTAGAGGAAAGTTAACAACTGAAAGCTTGAAATTAATTTTCATAATATGACAATGCCTTCATGTTTGTGAACTGCTTRGCTTTGTTTTTACTACTTGGTTTTATTCTGATAGATTTTCCTCATATGTTTCAAACTACTATATTTTTTTCAAACAGGAAAGGGTTCTACCTAACCATTTGTAATACTGTTTTTGGAAATACTGGGGTGTATTCATATAGGAGTAATCCGTTTTGTTAAAGATTGTCCTAGGTTTTTCACAGAAACAAAGTACAAACAGTGATCATTTTAGCTTTAGCTTACAGGGAGCTTGGTGAGCATGAGCCACTTCCTTCAAAGTGGAAGAAAACCTGAGAGAATATGTGAGGTGATTGATTTGTACTCTTGAATCAGCATATTTTTCTGCTAAATCTAGACTTGTTGATTAAGGCTTTCATATATTCACAAGGTTAACCATATGCTGAAGTGTTGCCTGATTTGGATCTGGAGAATGGATTAGGTAGTTACATTTGTTCTACAATATTTCAGAGCTAAAAATACAGGAAGAAGGAAAGAGGATAAATTTGAAAGAAATAATTTATGGAAGAGTTACTGAGGTACTGTAATACCTCTTTCCAGCGATTAGTTACAATTCTGTATTTTATTTATAACTGATGCTATTCTATATATAGTTCTGTATATGTATATAAATATGTATTATATATATAACCTTATATATCTTATATATAGTTATGTAGTATAGGTGTATGTACTATATAACTATAGTATAACTTACAATATATACTATACACCTATTATATATAGGTATATAGTACATACTATAATAAGACACTTCCAAACCTATTTTGTTCTGATGTTAAACAATATGTCCAAGTCGAATTTGAATGATTATTCTTTTGTCCAGAATTGCAAAAAAAGACATAAGGGAATATACTAAATATATGGTTATGGCATGAGTGATTTGTAAGATACCAGGCAAGTTAAGAAGATCTTAGAGTTGTATTGCTGCTTTTTGAAATTTTTTAAGAGTTGCTTTTTTTCAGGTGCTGAAATTGATTAGCCCCACACATACTTYAGTAGTTAGGCTGTTGAAATGTCCTTGAGAGGAAAATCAGTGCTGGTTGCACAGTCAGGAGCTAGTTTTGACCTAATGTGAAAGTGTGAGACTTTTCAGTACCTTAAAATAACAAGTAGCTACTGCTTCATTCGTTTATTACCTTTTCATAGACTGCTTGAATTTCCTGTAACCTATGATTCTATCTTTGTATCAGTGCAGACATTTGGTGAGAATTGGAGTTGATTAGTTTGAATTTGGCGTTAAGGGAAAGCAGTTCTGTATGTTAAATCTGCTCTTCTGGGCACAGACCTGTAGGTATTATAATTCTCTTCAGACCCTTTGGTCCAGACTTACATTCATTATCAAAGGACTTGAATTCTGACTGGTTCTTGAGATCTTTCTCTTGGTTATGAGAATGAGGATACATATGTGAGAGCAGAGATAAACCACCTCTTCATTTTGTCTTTGTTGCACTTCGTTAGCCAAAAGCCCAGCACGGAGTCGTAGTTAACCCTGGAAGGAGCTTAAAGGCAAGGAAAGGTGGTGTTAAATCTGGGAAGAAATTAATGTATCCAAACACTGCCTGGCTTTTTGTTCTGTCTCTTTTTGTTAAACCTGATTCAATTTCTAAGTTACATTAAAAGATTTCTTGTAACACTTGGTGGTTTAAGTGGTAGGATGTGTAGAACGTGGAAAAAAAAAATGACCCATTTTGTAGAAGGAGTTTGATAAAATGGTGGTTTCCAGAATAGTTTCTTCAAGCTCCTTAAAGGCATTTGAACAGAGTTAACTGCAGTGCATTGTTTTTAGCAATACTTACCAGTATAAAGCAATCTGTTGTGGTTGCACCATGAAAATCATTAGGACAATTCTAGTTGTTAATCTGGTCTGTACATAGGTCTACATACAAACATATAATAAAATGAAAATACAGTGATAACTGAAAAACAGATTTCCAGTTCCTTACTAGTGTCTGATTTCAAGAGCCTTCAGAATTGTTTTGTGAATGTTGTCCATCAGTTTCCTGGGAGAGAGCTTCCTCTTCAGACGGTCTCTTTGGGAAGAGCATCACAGAAACAAYACCTCACACCTGGGTCAACTGCAAGACCCAGATGTATTTTTTTTGTGTTGTCTTTATGCAAACACCTGCATAAAGTCTTAAATTTTTTGTGTGTTTTTGAGGTTGTGGTAGGGAAAAGATTCTGCATGGTTTTATTTTCTCCATTTTTGATGCATCTTAGTGTTTTCAGTATGACTCTGTAGAAGAAGTTTTTTCCRTTGAAAGTGCTGTGTTTGTTTCAGTGTCTGCACTGGAATTTACTTACAGTCCTTCCATCCTTCTGYAGTGTTCCAGTATTCTCTTTGCTTTGCTTCAGCCTTGAGGGTTCAGGGAAGGAGGAATTCAGTTTGCAGAGAAAGCATAGTGTACTTCCTCTGTATTCAGAACTTGGCTATGTAAGTGCTTGGGCARCTAATAAAACATGCTGTGAAGGAGGAGTGGGTCTGAGTGATGCCAAGAAGTTCCTTCCAACCTATATTATTCTTCCACTTTATAGAAGCTGAGGATAGAGAAGGAGCAGAAACTTGGATGCCTACACATGAGCCAGCAAATTGCCGTGCTCAGCTGTGTCGCATCTAGCTCTAGCGCAGTGCACTTCAGAGGTAGGATTACTTGGACAAAACCAGGTTTTGTCATCCTGTGCTTAGGAACTTAAACCTTGCTTGCTCTTCAGTATTACCTTTGCAAAGCTGGTTTGGGGAAGGAAGCAAGAGCATTCTATAATTGTAGGCATCTAAATGTAATGCGTATTGAAATCAAGGATGTAGTTATTTTAATTTCAGATTAGAAGGCTTCCTCTGTATGTCATCATTGAATTTGCAGACATGCAGCTGAATGGTTGACATGCAGCAGTATGTATGCCATTATACAAGTCTTCACAAATTGCTGAAATTTTACGTGCTACACAAAGAGTTAAGAAGTGGGTGAGTATGACTTTGGTAGTAGTAAAATATGGAGTCAATACTTAGTTATGCATACACAATGTTTTTCAAAATCTGACTGCCTTTTACAAATTAACTGTATTGATGACTGTAATTTAAGTATCTTGCTCTATGCAGACTGAAGCAATCAGAAATATTTCCCAGAAATGTAAAGAGAAGCAAGATGCTTTGGAGATGAAAGATAAACAAGTAAGAGGTTTGCTTTCTGTGACTTSTCTTGGTGTTTATTCGGGATTTTTTGTCTGCTGTTCTGTTAACAGAGAGGCAAATTTCTGTGAAAATGCAGGTACTTGCACTCTTCATTCCCTCCAGTACAAAATGAATCTTTAGTCCTCTGTTAATCAAACAGGAGTTACTAAGGGAGAGGTGTATACTGCATAGAAGAAGTCGCCTTACGGAATAGACAATTCTATATGCAGATAGATGAGATACGTACGTACATACACACACGATGTTTGTGATACGGTTTCCTTGAAAAGCTACAGCCTCTGTTGTGATTCACTCAGCACTAAACATGCCCTCTATGAGAGGCTAGGGTTATTGCTTCTGTTGAGTATGTACTTCCAGCAGCTTATAAAAAGAAACATCCTTGCAAGGATCTGTTGTAAAACAGCCTCATCTAACACTTGGTCAAGAAATGTTAAAACTAAATGTTATGCCAAGGAGAGTGCAGAGTCAAAACTTCAAATTTGTGTTCGGGCTATAGATTTTACTTAATCATAGACTAAACTTCAAATGTGTTAAGCAGCTCTTAAGCAGTACATTAGTCTTTAAGCTTCTGCTTCTGTGGAAATAAAGAACTTGAAAAATTGATTTTTAGGCTTTATTGTATTTTTGCTTATGCTCTTCAACTGCCGTAKTGCTATTGGAACTTGTCGTAGTGCTGTTGGAACTGTAACAGACAAAGGGTTTTGGTGCATGGTTACTTCAGCATTTAATAGCAGTTGCTCAGGTATCCTAGGTATTTGTTGTAGGTTCTGTATACTAAACTCCTTTCTTGTTGGAAATACTCAAAACTTTTAGATTGAAGAAATAAATCAAGCATTCAGAATGAAAAAAGATGAAGAAACAAACAGGCAGAAGAAAATACACCAAACTCAAAAAATTATAGAGGAGTGGAAGAAAGAGTTGGATACAATGTCAGTCTGTGAGAATCTTCAGCCACAAATTGATGCTGTTAATGTTGAGCTGAAAAAATTACAAGAAGAAAGGGCAAATACTGATAATGATGTCAGTGATCTAAAAGCAGAAAAAAACAACCAAGAGCAGGAACGGAAAAGTAAGTTACTTGAGGTTTTTTTGTCAATTAATTTTACTTTAATGACCTTACGTGTCCAACTGGGGTGAAATAATTCAAGAACTTTACCTCAAACCTCATAGTTGGCTTACATGTATAGCAGTCCCCTTTGTAGTTACCAGTTTTATTAAAAGTAACAACCATTTCCAAAATCGAACAAGAAGATTCAAAAGTAACAATTGACCTTAAAACTGTCCTTCAGAAAATCAGTATTTCTGATCTCTAACTAAGGAGACTCCTTTGTTTGGACGTTTGGGGAATTTTTTTTTATTACAAAGGAAGAAGGTGTATAGTTAGCAGGTTGTGAAAAACAATCCCAAACCTGATGGAGAAAGCAGTTTGCTTTGAAGATTCAGCATTTCACATCCTTCATATATTATATGCAGTATATTAACTGCTGTTGCTGCAATTTTCCTTTCTAGATGAACTTTGGCTAACCTTAATTCCAGAGTTTATTTACACTAGTCTGGGATTTGCAATTAGTCCTTTTTAAGAAACTAAATTTAAAAAATTGAAGCTTGGCAGGTGGAGAGGGTGTTGTGTAAATATGCCTCAGTGAATGCTGCTCATTTGCACACAGCTGTCTGTCTGGCACTTAACTTGCCATAGAATCCAAGAAGAACCTGAGGTAGAATCCAAGAAGAACCTGAGGTAGAGTCCAAGTGATCTGGGGAGGGAGACGCTGTGTATTTTATCTTGAACAGCGCAAAAATCTCCGGTTTTGATTTCTGTCACTTCTAAATAGTGAATGCTTTCATGCACAGTCTATTGTCACACATTTTGGGTTTTGCCAGCATGAAGTAACACAGATATTTCACAGCTATATATTCACAGATATTTCAGATATATATTGTCCTACTACTTCTTTCCTCTGGGGATGTCTGTTTTTAAGAACAAAAGTAGAACAAGTCTTGAAATAACATACTTTTGGGGGAAAATTCCTSTATTTTTTACTGTGCCTACCACACTGTTATTCTTTGAGTAAGTCTTTAATTCGGTTTTAGATTTAAAGGTTTCATAGTTTTTGAGATTTCTTCAGAAGTACCAGCATCTCAATTCTGGAAAAAGAAACTTATTTCTTATCATTTACTAACAACCTCATTTTTTGAGGAGTGTAGTCAATAGATAACCAGAAAATGCTAGTTATAATGTGTATTTGCTGTGGACTCTGATTAAGAAATTACCTTAAATTACAGGAATAATTGATCGCCTTGGACAACTTAATAATATAATGCATATGAAGGAAGAGAACCTTAAAGTGAAATTCCGAGACACACACTCTGCTCTTATGTGGCTAAGAAAGAACAAAGACAAGTTTAAAAAAAAAGCTTGTGAACCCATGATGCTTGAAGTAAGATTTACTTGCATACCACTCTGTTAACGGATAGATTATTTATGTCTTGCAAGATTTTGAGAATGAATTAARGACTTTTAAGACTCACATTGAAATGTCCTGCCAAGTACATGCAGGATACTCCTAGTTCCATAGGCAGTGTACTAATGGAGTGAGGTGGGATGGCTTCTTTCCTCCTCAAGAACATGCCTAATGCAGATTTCCTCTAGGGTGCAACCAGTTATTATCCATACTACTTAAGACTTAACTAATTCTTAGTTGCTGCTTTAAAAAGCAGTAGTAGCTGACAGTTGAGTATCTCTGCTTGCAGCACAACCTACTCAGGTGTGGTTACTTTTCTCTGTGATCTGAGTGTTTTTTTGGTTTGCTCTGCCCAGCCACCTAGAGACACAGAAATCCATCCCTGGATTTGTTTTTTGTTTTGTGTTTTGGATTGATTTGATTGCTGCTGTACTAGCTAGGAATAACAGGGCTACATTTTTTAAGAGGATATTTTTTTAGTGCATTCCTCCTTTTTCAATATATGCTCCATGTAATGTGAAGAGGATGAAATCTCCAGTTGCACTTCTTTTCAGAACTGCAAACTTATTTAATAATGTATTGCTACAATTTAAATGAGTATATAGAATATGTATATACAAATTCTTACAATTTGTACATGTACAAAGCTGCCCAAAATAACTGTTGTTTAGAATAGAATTCCAAGTATTTCTTATTATTACCAGAACTTTGAATCCTTCCTGAAAGACCAYATCAAGATAATTTTACAAATGCCTTGCTAAGGATATGTTTACTTTTATGTATGACCTCATTAACCTCTGTAACATCAGTTGATGTCTGAATTTGTTTTCTCTGTGTCAAGATGTAACCCCAACCAGGAGTCAAGCCCCAGGCAGCTGCTCCCTCACTGCCCCACTTGCAGAATTGGGTAGCGAATGAGAAAAGTAAAAGTTTARACAACTCATGTGGTGATATAAAGACGATTTCATAGGGAAAGCAAAAACCATGCATGTGAGGAAAGCAAAACATGGAATTAAGTCACTGTTTCCYACTGGCAGATTGCTGAACACCAATCTCCAGGAGAGCAGGGCCCATCATGGTGATGGTGACTTGGTATCCTGATTTCAGCCAAGGAAAATTTTGGCCAAGGGTTAAATTTTTTGCAATAYTTTAGAGGTTGTGTGGCTGAAGGGGTGTTGCCACACCCTATTTTTTTTCCATACCACCTCACCTCATTGCTAGGGCTGGGAGAAAGGGACTCTTGCTTTTGAGAATAGCATCCCTTTCAGATTGGAAAAGGTCATAGTKGGGAAGAGGCAATCAGTAGCTGGGAGCTTTGGGTGTAAATTGTTAGTCAGACCTTTTGTTATTAAAATTGTTGCAGTTACTGGTTCCTTTCTTATCTTACTGCTGTTTGCACTAAATTGTTCTTATCTCAACCTGTGATTTTCACCTTTTTTGCCTCCAGTTCTTAATTCCATCCTGATGGAGCCAGAAGCAAGGGGGGACATGGGGAATGAGCAGTGGCATGGTTTTAGTGGGCTTTCTRAATAGAAGAATGCCGTTCCTAAAATATGACATTTGAGAATCCATCACTTCAAGTGTGTTCTCTTTCTTCTCCTTGTCTTCATGTTAGATACTGAGCAYGATGATCTGGAAAATCCCTTTGGGTCTCCAGTTCTGGCTGTGACTCCCCCCAGTCTCCCCTTACCACTGTGGCAGCACAGAGAGCAGAAAAGGCSTTGGCTCTGTGTGAGCTCTGCTCAGAAATAGCGACCATTTCTGTATTGCRAACYCTCTGTTCAGCACAAATCCAAAACACAGCCCCATACTAACGAATGTGGAGAAAATTACCTCAGCCAAAACCAGTAACTTTGGTGTCATGTAAATTAGTCTTATGTACTTACAAACTCCAGCTTTCAAATTACTGCTGACTTTACCCAGGCTATGGCAAACTTGAGATTATTGTGTATTGCCTCTGTGTGTCATATGTAATGACATAATGTCTATATACTAGTGAAAGTTAACYGAAAAACACCAACATTAACATTTCATTCAGATTTGAAAAGCTTCATCCATTTTAAGTATGGAGTATTTTTTCCCTTAGGAATCCAAAGATGCCTCAATTTGAGGAGTGTGGTGTTTTCTTATGCTAATTGAAAAAGCTTTATTAGTGCTGGAGCAGAATCATGAGATGGGGATGGTTGCAATTGTAAAGTGAGGGTGGAGTAGGAGAGGGATATGGTGAGAGACAGTGATAACTTCGTGAGTGCTGAAAAAGGATATGGATAGCCAAAAACTAACAGCAATTACCTATGACTTACAGTAGGTTTCCTCCCAAAAAAATTGGTTGTAAAAAAGGCAGGGAAAATGTTTTTAAAAACTTATTTTTGTTTTCATTAAATGTAAGATTGAATAGCATCTTGACTATTTAAAATGTTTTTAGGGGTGGTAAGTCAAATTATATTAAAACATTTGCTCATTACCTTTCTTTATTAGATAAATGTGAAAGACAACAGACATGCTAAATACATTGAAAACCACATTTCGTCCAATGACATGAGGGCTTTCGTTTTTGAGAGTCAAGAAGATATGGAGACATTTCTGGTGGAGGCAAGTTGGCACCAATTTTAAAAATTTATTAGGTACTGAAGTAGGAGCCCTGAACCTGGTGACTGCCAACTAAATATATATCAAAGCAGTAAATAACGCAAAGTATTCAAAGATTTTCTTTAGAATTAAGGTTTGCCCAAAGCTTAGATTAACTGGAGGGATGCAGGAATATTGAGAGAGTGTTGTTGTTTTAGATTATCTTCCTTGACAAGGCAGCAGTCATTTCAGTAGAAAATATGTGTGCAAGAAAAAGACTAGAGCAGAAATCTGCAACTTAATTACTAAAACTTCCAAACCTTTGCCTTAAGAGGCAAGAGAGCATCTTTTGTGGCATGCAGTGATCCAAGCAGCAAATAAAGCTTATAGTTTCTTAATATTGCTGTTACCTGAATCACTGAAGAGCTAGTTAATTTTGAAAGTCAGGCAGATGATGCAGGAGGAAAAAGCCAGAAGAGATGGTATTAAACTGTCACAATGCTTCCTGACTACAGCCCACACAACAGTGTGTTCAGTGAGAAACTGTCTTGCAATTTTTGAAGACTCATCTGCCCTTCACAGAAGCTAATTATTTTTGTATACTGGAAYAATAATGGTGGTATCTCAGGTTCTGGGGACTTATCTTGCTTGTATGGTTGTGCAACTTAGTTCAAGGCTGCTTTAATCATCTAAATTGATCTTTCACCTTTTTTTTTTAATTGATTTATATGATTAGCTCTTCAAACTGAGCACCAGACTCTGGATTTCTTTGATTGCTTTTATTTTCTCTAGTGCATAGTGYTTTCAGACGCTAGTAAAGTTTGCTTTTAGAGAACTTGGTTCTTCCTGAGCCAGAGTCAATTTGTTGAGTTCTTCCTGAGGTTGTCAGTTTAAAAAAATCTGACTCTGCGAATCAGTGATAAATTCTTTATTTGTATACAATGAATTTTTCTGGTCTTCACCAAATAATGTAATATAATCTTAATGTAGATGCGTGATCATCAGAAACTAAGAGTGAATGCTGTRTGTGCACCTGCTGAATCATGTGCTGAAAAACTACCTTCAAGACCTATTGAAGAATTACAGTATGTATCTGATTGTATTGGGAAAATAATTTTAAATGCAGTGGGTTTGGGTTTTTGTTATGTATTAAAATTTTCTGTGCAAATAAAATTTCCGCCAGTTCAGTTCYGGTTTAGTGGGACTTTTTTCTGATCCCTCAGTAACTTCCAACTTGCTTACCTGTTGAGTTTGATTTGCGATGCTTGTTTTTTTTACCTCTTCTTCAGCCAATATGGATTTTACTCATATTTACGAGAATTATTTGATGCTCCTCACCCTGTGATCAGTTACCTTTGTTCCCAGTACCGTGTTCATGATGTTCCTGTGGGAACAGAGAAGACAAGAGACATGATTGAAAGGGTAAGTTACCTGAAGAAGCCCAAATGCACCTGTGATGTGGAGTTTTATTGTGGAAATTATTTAGCAAGTAAATGTGGAGAATGCAAAAAATTGCTTTTTCAATTTTATTTATTCTTTTTATTTGCCCTGTAGAAATGGGAACAGTTTTAACAAATTCAATCACCTAATACTGTACTTCACAGAAAGTTAAATGTGTCTTTCTCCTGTACAAGTTCTGAATTGGTGTTCTGGTTTTTGCCAAGGACAGGGTTGATTTTTTTTCTACAGCCCAGAGGGGGAGTGGCTGAATAATCAATGGGCCAGATCTCTTCATATTTATATATTGACCATCATTCCCCATACCAAAGGGGCTTTACCTGCTTAGTTGCAGTGCATGCTTCACAGTTAAGGATAATCTGGGAAATAGTGTCTGTGGTTAGGTCCACCTGATGGCCATGAGCCCATCTATATTTTACATCTCCTCCTTGATGACCTGAGGCTGTCATGGGGCGTGCTCCCTCAGCTACTCTAAAAAATTAACCCTGTCCTTGCCTGAAACTGAGACAGTTGTGAACAGTCTGTGCTGTAAACACAGTTTACTAAACCTAATTGACAGAATATAGCTGATGCTGCACATACAAACGGAGCATCTTTAGTCAAGTGTGCATAATCCTATGGAGGCTTTTTGCTGTTTCTGGTTTACTGGAATTTTTTTCTCTATCTTGAGTTATGGTAAATCTTTGGTTGTTTATAATATCCTTTTTGACATGAGTCACTTGAAGCTAGCAATTCTTGTATTTTTATACTTTCTTTTTTTCTAGAGATGCATTTACTTGACTAATACATTACAGCTCACTTAATAGTTTCATCTGTTAATTCTTGAGTACTTTGTTTCTTGTTACACAGGCTACATGTGTAATGTACATATCTGAAGCAAATACAATCCTTGTTCATGATGCAGTACAAGTATTAGCATTTTTTTATTGAGGCCTGTAATACCATAACAATTAGAACCTATTTAACTGGCTATGGTAACATTCTCTGACAGTATCTCAGCAGTTCTTTGCTGACCAGTCTGAATTACAAGTATAATGCTGCATTAAACTTAGCATCTTTTTATTAAGGTTGTCACTAAGTCAGTGTCTTGCATAAGCTGAAGTTTCTTTACTGTGGATTTTAGCAAGCTTATTCCTTGTTCTGAAAAGTATTGCCTCAAGTAATGCTTTTGTCAGATTAATATTTTTCTGTATTTCTTAGGTCRTACAGGAAACCAATCTGAGGCAAATGTACACAGCAGAAGAAAGATATGTCATTAAAGTATCTTGTTACACAAAACAAAACATCTCTAGCAACACATGCTTGAAGGAGGCACAATTTCTCTCTAGTTCAGTGGATGCAGATGAAAGAGGACAGTTGGAAAACCAGAAACAGGTAGAAATGTATTTCTGTGCTGTGTGTGAAAACTACTACCCATTTTATCATGCAGAGCCTACTTGCACTTGTTAGTATGGTATGTAGTAAGAATGCATGTGGTGTGTGTTCTTTTATTTCAGGCCATTGATAACTTGTTAAAGTCATTGGATGCACGTTTGGCTTCACTGTTCGGGAAACAGAAACATCTGGAACACAAAGACAATAAACTCAGGCAAGAGAAGAAGGAGCTTTTAGAGAGAGGAAACCGAAGGAGACAGTTGGAATCAAAAATTGCTGTGAAGTATGATAGGTAGGAAACAAGCTATGTTATCTATGGAAAAAGAACCATTTTAAAAGCAAAGCTATTTTTGATTTCTCTTACTGCAGCGTGCTTTTATCCGTGAAAAGTAACCAGTAGCTGAGCATCAGATACAGGTGCTAATCGAGACAAGGAAGGTGTTTAGAAATTAAGACAGTATGTAGCAATGGATGATTCTCGAATTTCCACATGGTTTTCTTTAATAATCCTATGATTCCAGTTAGAAATCAATGCATTATTGTACCCAAATATTATTATATTATTCTGATATTGTAGCAAGTATCTATATCATACTATAATGTGCATAAATGGTACTACATAAGCATGTCAGGGTTTGAGTTAGACCCCAATTGTCCATAGTATTTTTCATGGCATATGTTTTGTTTTTTTGGGCCACTGCAATAAGTTTTTCTGTTACTCTTTGTCATTAGGTGGAATCTGGCCATGATTGAGCAGGTATTTTCATTTAGGCGCACATTACCAGAAGGCAGCRTAGACAACATTAACATCTAGTCTGGATCTCTCGTGTTTCAAATTAGGAGCACTGTCTGTCAGTTCTTCTACTGTGTACCTCCTAAGAKAACTTCGTTCCGTCTTGTCGATGGTTTTCATGGTGGAATGTTACTGGGCTGTTGTTATTTGGTGCTCCATAGCCGTCTCTWGTCTACAGTGAACAAATGGAGCTTCCTCTCCTTGCAGAGCCTGTGCTGTAGCCCCTAACCATCTTGATTGCTCTCTTACACTTGTTCCGAGTTGTTTAAGTTTGGCACAGTGGTCCAAGCTGTGTGCAGTGCTGAACAGAAAGGAAAAATCACTCATCCTGCCTGTGCTTCATACAAGCAAGGACTGAGTTTGCTCTTAGGGTGCATYGCTCTCTTACACACAGCTCACTGTCCACCACTGCTCTCTTACACACACTTAAGTCCCTTCCTGCAGAGCTTTGCTGCATCCATCTGTCCTGAGTTTGTATCACTGCCACACCCGCTGTCTTCCTAAGACAGGATTCAGCAGACCTCTCTGAACCTCAGGTCTCTTGCTCCCCCCCAGTTCAGTGTCTGAAAACTTGACAGCTGGCAAGAGTGTTAAAACAGGATGGATCCTAGAACATTATCCTGTGGTTTCTTGGTACTGACTTCCAGGCAAGATACAACAAACCAAGAGTGACCCTAGAGCCACATTTTTTTACCTGACTAGTCTTTGATTAATGGAGACTGTGKTCCTGAAATTTGAATGCATAAATGGTGTGGGGCACAGCAATGAAAAACTTAGAGAGATTATTCTGGATTCAGCAGACTGAGAGGAAGATGGAGCTGATGCACGTTAATGCTCCTACACATACCCATTAGCGAGCCTGTTACAGTCAGTTCTTAAAATTATTAGAAATGCCTCTGCCTGAATTAAGGTCTGTCAAATGCCAAAGTCAATAGTACGGATTTTATTAAATAGTAAATATGAGACAGAGAAAAAGGAAGAGAAAGAAGGGGAAAAGAGGTGGGGTCAGAAAGATGGACTGATAAGGGAAAATATCACCACTCTATGGATTCCACCAGTGTCCCAATGATCCTCTCTCACTGGTCGTCTTGGTGGTAAGGGCCTCCTGGAAAACACAGAATYCAATGGATTAAGAGATGCTCAGGCAGGTGAGAATGCCCAAGTACCTCACCCAGGGGGAAAGCAAGTTTGACACAGTCCCTTGCAGAACAGCCTGGGTCTGTTGTAAAACATGTATCACATGCAGTCCTCTGGTGCAAGGTCTCTGGGGAGCACTTTTGGGGGGTCTTTAATGGATCATGACATCCCCTCAACTGCCTCTCATGTGAATGTCCTGTGGATGTGGCCTGTGGGGTTGGGGATTTCACAGCTGGGCCTGTTTGTCTAAGGGAGGATGGATCTTCAGTGCTTCTGACAAGAGGTTATTGCCAAAACTCTCCCCTGCCCCCTTCATTTGAGGGGGTGGAGAGTTTGTGCAAACCTGGCTCTTGTGGGATATGGCCTCTCCCACCCTAAACTCAGTAGGTGGTATGATTTTCTGCTGGGTTTGGATTTCTTGTGGATGCATTCTTTTCCCTCAGCCTTGTTTACCCCTCCCTAGACCTGAGATCATTGAGCAATAGTGTCCCCTTTTATCTTACCTAGACTGCTTAACTAATAGTCCAAAGTTGAAGTCAGGTATTTTCAGGAAGGGGAGGGCTTTGATGGTCACAGCTTCTTTATACAGTTTTGCTATTATATATATAGGGAAAAAGGTCCCTAACATCCTTAATAAGAATGTTTAAGCCATGAACTGTAAGATTCCAGTGTCTGACAAGCTAAACCTGACTTCCCACTAGACATACAGAGAACACACCTAAACCTATGTGTTTGTAGTTGCATATAGCACAGTGTACACATAGCAATTGTGCAAATACAACACCAGTGCAAATTGTGCGAATACTCTGAGCAGGATGGGCTTACTCTGGTGTGGTCTGTGCATACCTATGGGCAATGTGGATCCCATTGGCAGCTGGTTCCAGACACTCGGAATCTGCACTGAACCTCAGTTTCCTGAGTTGCTGGTACCTGGAAATGCCAACCCTTGAGGCTGTAGCCCTGCTTCTGTTGGCCTGTACAGGCTGCCTCTCTCACCCATGTGTGCCTGCATGCTGAACTGGCTGTGACTTCCCAGTTTCCCAGTAGCTCATTCTGTGGTGCTTCTCTCAGAGATACAAAGGTAATACATATGTACAGAGGTAGCCATGACTCCCCCAGTCCCTACCCCTTAGCCGGTACCCTTGTCATCTTACCCATAAATACATGCAGATGGCAGCAGTTTGTGTCAGCCAGGCTGGTCCCTCCAATAGCCATTTATTCTGTGGTGCCATCCTTAGTGAGCCTCTTGGATCCCAGGCCGCTCACTGTCTAGTGTGCACTGGTCTTTGTAAGGGGTGAAACATTCTCTTGCAGACTTTTACCATAGTGCTGGCAACGTGGACGATTGCATCACCCCACTCAAGTGGCTGCCACTTAGGTACACTCACTCTGGTCGCTCCAGCTGGGTGCAGCCATCACACACAAGTAGGWCCCCCCTATGACTTGTGATTTGATTGCTTGCACTTAGACTTCCGTACAGACAAGTGCTGAGTAGAGTCCCCTGTCCAAGGAAAGGGGAGGGATGGAGTTGTGTAAAAATAGAATGTGCCAATTGGGCATAGCTGGACAAGGGTAGCATCCTGGCAACTATTTACATCTTACTGTCCCTCTTATCCTCCTATTCCTGTTTCCCTGTACATGTTTCTTTCCAAGTTACCTGGTTCCTCCCTTTCCTCACATTCGTTTGCCCCCTTGAATATGTAATAGTCCTGTACAGTCACAAAATGCTTTTCTGCTACATCCTGTGATGTCTATTTATAATACAGTGTCCAGGATTACGCTGTTCCACAGGAGGTGCAAAGGACTGAGAGCTGGGGGCTATACATCTTGGGAAGAGTCTCACTAAAGGCAGCCAATAGTGTTTTTTTGACTGCAGAGGTTAAAGGACTCTGTTCAGTCCGAGACACGGGTGTTAACCACAATAGACTGAGGTTTCTTCTGACACTGAGTTGATGAAGCTGGAGGGCTTGGCCTTTAGGAGCAGAGATTCAGGGCAGTTTCCACTGAGATATCAGCAAATTTGTCAGAAACAAGGCCATTTGTTACGTTGCATAATTACCTTTATTTTAGGTATCTTCTGTATTGTAAGTAGGAGCACTGTTTTGTCTTATCAATGTAATTTTTGCACTCTTGCTTCAAACAGATCTGCATGTATTCATGGCTAGTGAGCAATTGGTAGTCTCGGGTGAACCTTCACAGGACTTACCCAGCAGTGAGGATGCTCAGCCACACTGAGAAATTCAGGTCACTCARAGTGCTCCTGAAATATACTGCGGCCTGTTTGGTGCATTCACAGTAATGCTAATGCAGACAGAAATGCCCACTGACATATGAAAGAGCCATGAAACCACAGGGTTTCCAGGTAACCTGCAGTCAGTGGGGAGTAATTGGTTTATTACAGAGAGAATAAGGTGGGAAGGTGGAATGAATCTCCCTTTGCCAGGAGAATTGTCACCATAGGTTGTCCCACCACTTAAATTAGGGTTGGACACTGCTGTTCAGTCTCACAGATAAAGTCACAGACAGACATGTGCTCACTCATCTCCTTGAAGCCCTGTGTGGTACYACTGGGAGTATCCTTACTTGACAATAGTATTTTCAGATACTACTTTTCCATTTCAGAGCCTGAAATTATGTGAGACCAGTGTCATGGCCTGGCAGAGTGACTTCCTGTTTTTTTTTCAGTTGCCTTTTTTTTTTGTTTGTAACATGACATGTAGATGTAGCTCTCAGGGACGTAGTTTAGTCAAGGACCTGGCAGTGTTAGGCTAGTGGTTGGACTCAATGACCTYAAGGTATTTTCCAACCTAGACAAATCTATAATTCAGTTGTACTGCAAGAAAGCAACTCACCTCAGTCCACAGTTTGACCTGATGATAACTACCTTATTGTGTTCTACACACGAACTCTGGTGCTGAGGCTGTCCTGGGACCGGATGCCCCCTTCTCTGAGTCCTGAATTTGGGTCTCCATCTGCTCCCATGGCCCTGTGCTCCTCTTGTGCTTTCATGGACTGATGGCTCCTGTGATGGGCCTAGGTTTAGCAATATGTATGATATTATTTCAGGTTCTGCCAGCTGCTGTYGTCTCTCCTTTTTGTGTTTGCTGGTGAGCTTTTATCAGGTACCCTAACAGAAAGCTAAAATTGATCTAAGTGACAACCACTTCATCTCCTGTCATGCCATTGTTTTACAATCGGGTTAATGAGATATGGCATGCCCTTTGTAAATGCTTGCTGAGTCTCCATGATCACCTTCTCCATTATGCCCCTCGAATTGCTTTCGAAAGAGAGTTGCTCCACAATTTTCCCAGGGATCAAAATGAGAATGATCAGTTTYATGTATCATCCTCTTTCCCTGTTTAGCAGTTCTGGAAGATCTCCAAATGCTTTGCAGCTCGCTGAAGGTCATAGTTCCTTTTATATGTTCTGGAGGTCTAAAACATGTGAGAATTCTGTTTTTCTGCATTAAGATGAGTATACAGGGTTGTTTTGTTTTTTTTTTTCTAGAATATGTAACAAGAATTAAGTAAACTTCCTGAACTCTCCTATGTTGTATTGTTCAAAGAACTACCAGAAGAAAAATGTCATTCCTTACGCTGATTTTTTTTAACCTCTAGTTTGAAATTTACAGAAGGAAGGGACTATTCTTGAGTGATGCTGTTAGTAGTCAAAAGCAGAGTTTCTTTAATGATTGTCTTTGATTTAAAGTGCATTGTTTGGGAATGTCTCTAATGTGTTTGGAATGTTTAGGTTTACAAATTCCTGTTCTTTCTAACTTTTGGCTTGTCGTCAAATTTTTCAGCATTTTTGTATTTTTTGGTACAATTTACTTCTAATCACAGTTAATCAAATATTGATTCTTCCCACAGTTTAAGACAGCTTGAACAAGATGCTATTGACCTAGAGAAGGAATTTAATCTGGCAAATATGAAGATCAAAGAAATAAATAAACAGAAAGCAGAAATTATGACTGAATTGACGCATCTCATGAAGGTATGTATTTTTAACTTGATAGGTGTTGCACTTTTATGAAAAGTCCAATTCTTTTAATTTAAGTAGGAGGCATGCAACTTTTGGATGTGTTATTTGTTTTCAAGCTAGCTTTCTTGAATTATTGAATGATCTTAACTTTTCCTATTTTTCATCTCATTTTAATTTTTTTTTTCAGTTTGCATTTTTGATAATTATTTTTAAATTGCTTAAGAGAACTGGAAACAAGCAAACTCTTCCCTGTGACGAAGTTCACACTGTAGAAACTTAGTTTCGAAATGGAAATAGTAAAGAACTGATACCTTGGCTCACCACTGTGGTCAGATGCTAGTACTCTTGAAATTTTATTTTGTAGGTGCCCTAGGTCTACAGTTGAGCTATTCTCTTCCCTTCATTAAGAGAGAGGACTTGTTTGTATTTATATGCTGATCATATAAAACATGGTAAACAGTTGCTTTCAGTGCCCCATAATTGTAGTTACCCTTTAGACAGTAAAGAATCTGTTGCTGATTTTGAAGTCTCTAGACTGTTTCTGAGGCTGACTTAAAAAAAMCCCAATTATGTTAATGTTAAACCAGGTTCTAGTGATCACAAAAGCCTGTTATGTAACTTCCCAAACAGCCTCCTCTTGTTGTCGTATGCTGTTCCAGTTAAGACATCAGGTACTAGAGTTGCTGTCATCTGGTCAATCAGCTTGCATTGTCGTTATGAGATGCGTATGTCTTTTGTGTTTATTTTTGGACCTTTCCCATCTCTTTGTGTGACATATGATATCCACCTGTTGGATTCTTCTTTCTGAGAAACAATTGAGATGGCCTTGACTTTTCTGATATTTTAGTGTTGGTATGTAGGGAAGGGAAAGAGAATCAGAGGATAGACGGTTAATGTAAAATTGTGGGTTGAAAGTGTGAGATATACATATATCTACACATATATTTATATATATTTGGTTGAAATTATACATACATATGTATATGTATTGATACAGACTTAAAAGTACATGAAGACTATACATCTTGAAGAACTTGGATCACCACTTTTTCATTGAATTTGACAGCAGTATTGATGACTTAAACACAGTGTGAGATTGTATGTTATGACCAAAAGGATGGGTAGTTTCCAAAGTTTGGTAGTGATTACATTGATTTTGAGTCAGGTGAAAAAACCCTGCTCTGTTTTCCTGTGTGTAGAAGAACATACCACTGAACGTCGTGAAAGTAGCTTTGGCTCTTCAGATGACCAGAATGACTTCTGAGAAGAACAGACTACAAGCGGACTACAAAGCAGGAAATGGGCAGCTAAGAGATGCACAGGTGACCGTATATGAATAGTGGGATATCGTCTATGAAAAAAATCTTACTGGGAAGCATCTTACTGGAAATATCTGACTTTATGGTGTTGAAAAGGATGCTTCTGTGTCTTTATTTATAAGTGGATGTTAGTTCTGCTAAAAATTTAGGTTTGTTTTCAGTAGTAGTTGAAATAGTTTTGAAGTTCAGTAGATTTTGAAGTAATTTGACTTCAGCCTCTTCATTTAAAGCTGAATAGTAGCTTTGCCATCCTCAATTAAGACAGTTAAGCTGCTGTGAAAATGTGCCAAATAGTCATCTTATCCTGGATCTTTTTATTATAAAGCATAGTCTGTGTAAAAGGGCCAGCTGTTTACTCAAAGGATTACTTTTCTTCTGAGTGTCCRTAGTCAAGTATCTCCAGCCCGCATGGGAAATACAAGCTCAAGATGAACCAGAAAATGCAGCAGCATAACAGAGCTATTTACCTTTCTTTCTTAGCTCATTTCTTCCTACTGTAATGTACTGTCATGCCTTCTTCAGAGGTCACAAAAGAGGCTGAATGGTCTTTCTCTTGGTAGATCATATTAGGAAGCTATGCTGTGTTCTGCCAAAAGGTCTGAGGAGTTAATTCCACAGCAAGTATGCATTTCTAAGAGCAGAGGATGCTGTGATTACTCATGGATTGCTGCAGAGGTCAATTTTTGCATTTATGTCATAGTACAATCTTCCAATGCACTGGGGAACAAACTGTCTAAGTAAAGGGCAGTAAGTTAGGGGTTTTTTCCTTACCTTGCAAGTGTTTGGTCAGTTATAACCTACTGATTCAATTTGATTATAAGGATAAAAGTAAAAATTGTAAAGCAGCTTGAAAAGTAGATTTTTTTTTTTTTTTTGCATAGACAGGTATTTCCAAAAAGAATGGCCTTGGCATGTAGTTAGAAAGCCACTTAAGGTTGTAGTAACCATCACTTACAGGAAAATTAGGCACAGGAGAACTTTCTAAGAGGAGCAGAAAGTATCTTGAAAACTGAGATAAGTCCAACATGTTACTTAGAACATGGCTCTTGCATCAGTTCTCACATGTGATGCATCTGTTACTCAGCTTATCAAAGTTCAGTGAAAATTACTTAATTGATGAAGCTCACTAAGGAGTAAGAATGTATTACAAGGACATGAACCCCATGTCAGTAATGGTATTATCACTGGGAAATGAATTTAATGATTTTGGTTGTCTCTGCACTTGTCTTCATCATTTAGGGAGTAGCTTGGGTTGGTGCATAGTTAGATGTCTAGTCAGATCAGCAGACAGGATATGTGGCTCTGGCAGTTCTTAAAAATTGCTTCCTTCCTAGTAAAAGGTGTGTGTAAGTCAAATGGAATCCCACCAAGGCCCCCTCAGAAAATTAACAGGAACATCAGCATTGCCATGTATTCTTTCATATACAGAAGAAATAAAGAAACAAAACTTGCATATTTTTATTTAAATTTTATTTTGCATGTGGCCATTGACAGTAAACTGGCAAAGTTGAGTGAAAATTGAAACTTAGCTTGTTGAACTGTCAGTGCATTTTTTCAAGTACATACTTCATAATACCATAAATACCTATTGCTTCCTAGTCTTTCTGTTGCATACTGAAATTTCTCTTGCCAAACATTCATTTTCATCCTCACTGAAGAACTTACCTTAGCTTGGATCAGACATATTCAGTATTGAATCTGTCAGATTTTAAGTGTCTACAGTTCAACTTGAAATCTTGTTTCATGTTGGTCTGCAGASCTCCCTTCAAGTGGGCGTTTTATGTACAATTAAGAATTGAGATTCTCTACTTCAGATAATGCATAATTCATTGGGGCTCTGGAAATGATCACATACTTTTAAAATTTATGCTTCTTGTAAAAAAGAAAAAAAAGAATGGGTGCCTCTCAATGGATCTTTTGCCTTCATTATCATGTAAAAACATTTCACATGAAGCCAGTTGACTTTTGAATTAGTAGGATTCAGAATACTATTACAGGGCATATGGAATGGGATGTAACAATTTTTCTGTATCAGATACATTTATGCTAATTCAGTATAACTTGAGATCTTTGCTCTAAAGAAAGGAGTAAAGTAAAGTAGAGTGAGTGAAGAACAGGTTTTTTGAGTTGATACATGCTGAGAACAGCAGCCCTAACTTGAGTGTGAGATGATCACTAATGATGATATCTGTTACAATTGCTTCTGTTGTGTTTAGTAAATAAAGATCAATTAAATTTACAGAAGGTAATGAGGGTTACTATCAATGTCTGTGTCTTGTATTTTAAAACTGTGGAACAAGCATTTCTCTAACTGTATGATTTCCAAATGAAAACTGAATTTTCACCATTTTCACCTATATTAAACTGAAGTACACAACAATGAAACTTGGGAGATTAAACTGTTGAATTACATGTACACTTTTTAAGTTGAGAGAAAATAAATGTAGCTATTTTAGAAGGGCTTGCTTTTGAGCAGATTGGCATCTGTTGACTTGAGAGCAGAGAGGTATAATAGTTACGTTAGTTGAAGCAAATTGTTTTTCATTTTGACAGTCTGGTTTCACCTACTTTTTCTGCCTCAGGTGTGGTTTGTTGCTAGTGTTACCTCTGTAAATTCACAACAATGTTTAAAAAAAAAAAAGAAAGATGGTGGTGGATTTTTTTAATATCTTTTAATATTTCTAACAGCAACGTTTTCAAGAACTGGCTAATAGGAAGCAACTTCTTTATGAGAAATGCATGAAGTTGATGAAACAAGCTCGACAGGTCTGCAGATTGGGTCCAGATCAAGGTTTTCCGGAAGAATTTAAAATCGTATGTACAAAAAGAAATTTCCACATATATCTTGAATTTCTAACTTCTCCTGCAAAGAATATCCTACATTTTTATTAGAAGTCTGCCAATAAAGGATCACATGTACTTCTCTTAATGTTATTAGCCTTTCAAAGTACATTTGAAATAGTACTGTGATACGCTTTGACTACCACTTTGTTTTGTGCACAGAGAGCAAATTTGATTGGCAATTTCAATTGAAATCCACAGTCTTATGTTCAGAAATGAATTGTGGCCATATATATGTCTAGCTTTCTACTCCAGTGGAGCAACAGAAAAGAACTGAAGCCTGGGCTGGTCTATGTCCCTGGAGGTCTTCCCAGCCTTWTAGGAAGTATTCATTTGCATGGCTTATCTAGCATAGTCCATGCCTTACACCAAATCTCTGAATATCTGTGCCTGCACACAGTAGGCAACTAAAGAGCAGCTGATTGTGTATCTTAGTTATGCAATAGCACTTTGAATCTTCTTTCTGTGTCCACAGGAGTTTATGAGGGAATCTTGCTGTATTAGAGTATGTGACACTCTGATAAAAAGTAACAGAATATTTTATGGTTTTTTCAATTTGTTTTGTTTGTTTGTTTGTTTGTTTGTTTGTTTGTTGGTTTGGTTTGGTTTTGGATTTTTGGGATTTGTTTGTTTGTATTGGGGCTTTTTTCTTTTGGTTGGTTGGTTTTGGTTTTCTTTTTGGTTTGTTTGTTTTGGGTTTTTGTTATTTTGGTTGGTTTTTTGTTTATTTATTTTTAAGAAAACTTGAGTCCTTCATTAGTATTGCTTTGTGACGTGCATCCTTTGTCTTGTAGGCTTTTCAGACTCTTCCAAACACACTGGAGGAAATTGATGCTTTTCTGAATGAAGAGAAAACCAGGGCTTCCTGTTTTACAGGCCTCACTGCTTCRGTATGTTCACTGCTTTCCCTCCACTCTCTCTCCCTCCATGTCAACCCACAGTGTTCTTGCTTCCCACTCTGTACTAGATAGCAGGAACAATGTGCTGTGAATGCCAGATTCTGCATCTATTCAGATTTCAAGTAATCAGGGTCTTTAAAAATGTGCCTTAAAAAAATTGTGATAATCTGAGAGAAACAAAGCTTTAAAATTCCCTTGCATTAAAGCTAGAAATGTATCTTGTTTAGTCTGCAGTGCAGTAGTCAGTGTAATTGTGTTTGAACAGYATTGGTACACTGTGGTATTTTTACAGTTAAAGTTAGAATTGGCAGATATTTTGCTGACTCCTTGTTTTTTGTTCTGGCAGGTTGTTGAAGAATACAATAAGCAAACACAAGAAATACAGCAGTTGACAGAATATCTAGAAAAAAAGAAAACTGAGTTGAATAACTATAAGCAAAACATTTCAGAGGTAACAGCTCCAATTATCCCTTCTGTATCATTACTATAATTCTACATCATTGTAGGAATGTATGTACAGAAATAAAAGGTAACATTTCAAATAGTCTTGAGGGTAAACTGAGATGTTAGCTTCCCTAATTACAATGTTTTTTTTCAATTCCAAAGGAAAAATCAGTTCTTAAATTGATTTTACATGGATATGTCTACTTTTAGGTCAAAGAAAAGTGGCTAAAGCTCGTGAAAGTGATGATTGAACAAATTAATGGAAAGTTCAGTAAGTTCTTTAGTTCTATGCAGTGTGTTGGTGAAGTTGATCTTCATGTGGAAAAAGAGGTATGRTTGATTTTTTTGTATAGAAGAATAATGTATTTTCTTGCATAATGTTTTGGTCATATATTGCTAGAAAAAAACAACAAGTTGTCATATGGAGATGTTCTTTATTAAAAAAACACTGAACACGCTCAACACTTTTGGTGTACTAGAACTGACTTAGCAGTCTCATTGAAGGCAAGCGAATCTATCCAGACACACAGGTCTTCACATCCTGACTTTTAGAATAGACCTGTAACCTACAGAGCTTGGAAACATTGTATTTTACTTAGCTGTTACTCAGATTTTTGAAGTTCATGATTTAATTCTGCATTTTTAGCTAAGTTGTGTCTTCTGATTCAATCTAAATCTTCTGTTATTAGGCATTGAATTGATTCGGTTCTACATGTAGTTTCTGCTGGAGTCTGAGGGCATTTTGTCTGTTCTGAAAGCAGGTGTCATTTGGCCCATCCTGTTACCTTCTCAGTAACCTTTATAGGTAGGGTTTATCTCTGGTGAAGATTTTAAAGCATCAGTAGAACCTGAGGAGAAATATTCAGTGCAATGAACAGAAGAAAGGAATTTGATATTTTGTTTTAAATTGAAATGATTATTTCAAAATTTTCATATATTAATGCATAGACTACACAGTAGTGAAAGTTAACACATTTTTTATCTGGGTTTTTTGCGGTTGTAAATTACTTACACAGCTTTTCTTAAAATAGCAGCAGCAGTTATTACTCAGGACAGAAATGTGACTGGTAAGGTTCTTTATATGAACTGCATTAAAAATGTTTATTTGGGGACTAGTAATATGAAACAGTAGGACATTAAAATGTATACTTTTGAGGTCTTTTTATAATCACCTAGACAGATCTATATTACACAAAAAYTATCTTTTAGATGAAAGTTCATTGGGAGAAAATGAAACAGTAAAGCAGTTTAAACTCAAAAGGAATCTGGAGTGCCTTTCTGAATCTCTGGAAGGTCTTGCTTTTCTATAGCAAAGGTGTCACAAAGAGATTAGCTAGCAATACTGTGCTGTAAAACTTTTTTCCTCAAAGGATCAATGGCTGCAATCCAGAAAGGTGGATAATCTATTCTCAAGTTTTTTATTCCTTACCCTGCTGTGCAGGAGAATCTTTTGCCTCACCTGTTGATACAAAGAGAGAGACTCTTGAGGCAGAAGAACTTTTTATTAGAAATATTTCTGTGACACTGATGTTCAAGCCTCTGTTAATCTGCCTTTTTTGAATCTTGTTGTCTGTGGATGTCCTTGATGACACTACCTGTTGTCACCATTGGATAATAGGAGGAATTGGACATTAGGAGGAATTTCTTCACAGGAAGGGTGATGAAACATAGATGAACTGAGGAGGGAGGTGATGAAGTCACTGTCCCTGGAAGTGTTTAAGGAATGACTGGACAGAGCACTCTTGGTCAATTTGACAGGTTGGTGTTCGGTCACGGATTGGTCTCTGACCTCAGAGGGCTTTTCCAACCTGATTGATTCCAACCTGATTGATTTCCAACTTGACACTGTGAAACACTTCACTGGGTTCTTCCTTAACATCCTGGCAGAAGTCTTTGTGAACCTTGTGACTTTCCTTGGTAACACTTGGTAGCCAGAATTCAGACTGCTAGCCATGATAGCCCTCACATTCTTGGTTTCAATAGGAGTTTTTAGCATCATTTTTGTCAGGTTTTAGAGTATCTGTCAGTTATATGAACTGGCATTTGAAGTAGTCTGGCAGTAATCAAAGTCTGACTTCGATGCCATCACAGCTGTCTTGGATGTGAATCTTTTTTATTTGGTTTTGCTAGCCTGTCATGTTCACTTTTTCAAACCTAGTTTCAGTCTATGCCAGTGCATCTGAAATTACAGTGGGCCTAGAGACCTTATATTGTGGGTTTTATTTCTCCTTACAATGAAGTTCTAATCAGAACAACTCACAGAATCACAGATATTCTTAGCTGGAAGGACCAACGATTATCAAGTCCAGCTTTTAAGTAAATYGCCCATATAGGGATTGAATCCACARCCTTGATGTTGTTAGCATCATGCTCTGACCAACCAAGCTAGCTCAGTGGCTACTGAATACAACTTCAGGAAGAATAGAGAGTACTCTGAAGATTTCTTTTTAGTCTTTAGCATGAATGCATGGTCATTCTTTTGAACCACATCTGTGTTCCTGATACCTTGCATCATTGGCTGAGCTGCTGACAAGTGTCACTTTCCTGTTAAAGAGAAGCTAGGGTTGGAATCCTTGTGTGTGGTTCTCCTTTTGAAATATGTAAAAGAAATGGCTGTCCTGGTGAATTTTGGGCTGCTTGTACTTGAAGAGGTTCAGGTTGACTCTCAACCTACACACAAACCGTTACTCCACTGTTCAGACTGATAGTACTATGTATCCTACTGCATTATTTTTCTGATGCATGGGATTGATAGGGGCATTGCTTTCCCCTTTTTCTAGGCAAGATTTTTATATTCCTTTGATACTCTTACTGCATATGAAGCCTTTCTTAAGAGGGATTCAGCAATTAACAAATAGTCATGGAGAAGAATRGTATTGAAATTTCTCTTAACAAAAGTAGATGAGAGTTAAGGAAAATAGATGAAACAGAATTAATATATATAGATGAAGCAGAATTAATATATCACTATAAGTTGAACCTGAGTAGTTGGTAGACTGCTGCAGTACATTTGTGCAAGTGTCCTTTAGTTTGCGTCATCATAAAATAAGCTGTAGTATAAAGAAAATGAGTTTAACAGAACTGGCTTTCACAGGAGGAGTACGAGAAGTATGGGATTCGCATTAGAGTCAAATTCCACAATAGCACTGAACTTCATGAATTGACTCCGTATCATCATAGTGGAGGTGAGAAAACTGTTTCCACTATGTTGTACCTGATGGCTCTGCAAGAACTCAACAGATGTCCTTTCAGAGTTGTTGATGAAATAAATCAGGTGAGAATCAGTAGTGCAGTATTGGTCTTTCTATGTGATGCATGTGGCACAGTGGAGAGAGCAGACCTTTTTTTTTTTTTTTCTTTTCTTTTCAGGGAATGGACCCAATGAATGAGAGAAGAGTTTTTGAAATGGTTGTGGAAACTGCTTGTAAAAAAAGCACATCTCAGTACTTCTTCATTACACCAAAGGTGTGTGGCAGAAAATTAAAGGGGAGGTTTAAAGTGTAGGAGAATTGGATTTTGTATGGTAATATACCAATAAACACTGTATAACTTAACTCTGTTTTACCTGAGGACTTTAGATTAAAGGGTAACTGAGAGGATTTAAGGACAGTCAGGCAAGAATTCAGACAACTTAGACCAACGCTTATTTCAAAAACCCATTCTGGAATTGTGGTCTCACTGGAAGTATCATGTGTTAACCACCAGTGGATAGGGTTACCATGGAAAAGGCTGTAAAAGGTAATGATTCTGGATAACACAGAATTCAGACTGTAGCAGAGATCAAGTCCTAAACAAGAAGTCAGATGATTCTGAAGGAAGAGCAGGCCTAGTGCTGAAGAACTGGAGGAATCCCACATTTTTACTTGAATAGTTTTCCTGTATTGCAGGCTTAGAAAAGGTGAGACCTATGCTCTAAGAGTGACCAATTTAATTGTACTCTCCGATCAAAATGGAAAAAAAAAGGTTGTTGTCTTACTAATGAAGCAATGCCAGGGCTTGAAAGGGGTAAATAGGGTGGCTGTTCACCTGCACCATTAATGGAGACTAATGTTGCATTCAACTTGATCTGARGCTCAGCTTGTTCCTAGACAAATTGAACCAGTAAAGGTTACTTTTACACCAGGGAGACAAGCAGTCGGCAGTGTAGTGGCTTTTATGAAGATAAAGCAATTCTGCTCCTGCTGGACATTGTATTTTACAAAATCTAGCTGGTATGGCCTGTTTTTTCAGTAAATAGCAATTGAAGGATCTGAGTAAAGCTACCTCATAGCATTTTTATCTTAATGGAAGAAGATAAAAGGTGATGGTTCTTGTTCCTTCTTACCTTSCAGTATGATTACATGCTTGCAGTTTGGTCTTTTCCTGACCACATTACTTCTTTGTTGTTCTGTATTATTTATTCCCTTTTGTCTTCTTGTGATTCCTCTTCTTATTGGATCAGCTTGTCTGTGCATTCTCCTACTTAAAGAACACAATGATTGGGATGTTGAAAGACAGATGGGTCAACTAACTCTGTGCTGAACTAACTCAGCTAACTAATGCTTTCCARATATACAAAGTTGTAAAAAATGAGTCTCTTGGGTTCAGAGTCAGTTTTAAAGTTGAGTCAATTGTCAAATTCCTAAGAGCAGAGACAGGGAAAATTTGAGTTTGCGGAGCTAACCAGAAAGATCAAAATAAAAATACAAAAGCAGAAGTAAAAAACATCTCAGAAGCTTAAAAAAAGCAAAAAAAAAAATCAACATCATGGTGAGAGCAAATTGAAGGGGTATGTTGCACCATTATTTAGCAGCAAGGGACAGAGTTATGAAGAAGTGGCTGAAGATATTCTTCGTGCCACCTATCTCCACAGCTAATATGGCAAGCTATAATGGCCTGTCACAAGAAAAATTAGTGAGAGTGCACCTCATGTAAAGGTTTAGCGGAAGAGTTTGTTTGTGTGGGCTGCATCAGAGGATGATTTAAAGGCTGGACTGGGCAGGCTCAGGAGAAGACCAGACTCTGCTGTTCCAGTGGCAGTTCCTCAGCCTGTGCTGTATGTCACCACTTACTAGAAAACAAATATGTTGTCACCTACTAGAAAGTGTGGCAGTTTGTCATATTAAGCTGAGTTCCATGTGTGTACCCAGTGGAGACAGGAGAAACTGCGGCCCTTTGTTTTCAGTATGTTGACACCTTCCCTGACCGTTTTTTAAGCAAGCTACAGAGGGGAAGATTATAAATTAATATGCAGTAAAGTAGATGAGGAATACTGTATTCTGAATACTTATAATTCGCTGTCATAATGAGTACATGAACTGAATATGTTCTTAGAAGTGGGTTTGAAAATGAGTATTTTTAATACGAATATTAGGATTACATTTATTAAACATACATATAATCACCCTGTTAGGAGTTCATTTTTTTGCTGTAAAGCAAGATTAGAATTCTAAGCAATCATAGGTAGGTAACTTTATTTGACAACAGGATTCATTTCAACACAGAAAAACAAAATTTAGTATTTAAGTGAGAAAAATCAATAACAGCATCTGTTGTAAGGCATAAATGCCTGAACGACTGGGGAGAAGGAAGTACCAAGTTGAGCATCAGTTGCAGGTAAATTGTTAAATGTCATCCTGAGCACTGCTTGTAATCTACAGTTAGCATGATGTCTTTCTTTGCTGGGCTTGTGCTTGGTAAGATTTGGATTATCRTAAGTATCCATTTTGGCTGTTACACTTCAGAAAAGTAGTACAGGAGATGAAGTTACTCTTGAATATAGCAGTGCAACTTCTAGGTAATTTCATTTCTTCTGAGTTTCCACTAAGGGAAATTGCTTCGCTCAGACAAGCACAAGGCTAAATAGATACATATATTTACTTGGGTACAATTACTGTCTCTTGCCCTCTCCTGGGGAAAAAGGAAAAAACATTATTCTGTGCCTAGAGCAGAATGGAGTAATTCTCTGGATACATAAAAAACCAGCGAGATCATTTGCAAGAAGGTATAGATTAGATAGGAAGATTTTATTCTAATAAGAATAGTGATGCATGGAAATAGGCTAAAGAATGACTCTCCTTGAAGGGGATCCTAGGAACAAATACACTTCATTTGTCAGGCTGTAATCCTACTATATTGATAATTTTGAGGTCTAAGATTTTACATAGATCTCATTCACCTTTTTTAGACAATGGGAAACATCTAGCTATCTTGACTTCTGTTTCTGTGTTTTTCACCAGCTCCTGAAGAATCTCACTTACAATGACAAGATGACTATGCTGTTTGTCTACAATGGGCCTTTTATGCTGGAGACATACCGATGGAATATGAAGGACATCAAGAGGCGGCAACGGCGGCGGCTTGCAAGCATGAAAGAATAGTGATTTATAGCTATAACTGTTAAACATTTGGAAATAGAGGTCATCAACAGAATGTTTAATACCTAAAATAAAGTCTTGATTATTAAGTTAAGTATTAAAAAAGTAAAATTCAACAATTTAATGACTGCTTTATTTTGAGTACGTGTTTTTCTTAACAGCATCCTGGCAATGACCTTTGCTAGTGAAACTGATATGTCAGGCTTTGATATTCACGTATCCAAAATAAAATAACCCAGTACAAAATACGAGCTAGAATCTGAAAGGTTTTATGTATTAAAGGGTAAATGCTGTAATTATTTTTTTAATAGATAGAKGAGCCTTCAGTGCAGTAGAGAACCACACATTTTTGTTACTGCAGGCCACTGTTGGTCTGTGGAATTATCTGACTGTGAAATGAGTTTCTGGAGTAAGTTGATTAGTATYCCAACGCAAGTATTTAACAGAAAAGGTAAAAGTGTGGCAATTCAGGCTCTCGGTAAGCAGAGTATCTTCAATGTAGTTGAGGCTACAGGTCTCTCTGTTCACTGTATTGAAAGAACTTGATTTTAAAACTATTCTTCAAAACTGACTATTATCTATCCATGTGAATTTCTTTTCCTGTACTCTCTGCCATTATTATTTTTACTGTTACTGTTTGTTCTTATATCACTTTACTGTTTGCAGTAATTATCTGTCTCAACCTGTGATCTTTGTGTTTTGTGCCTCCAGTTCTCCTCTCCAACACACTGCAGCAGGAGGGGAAAACAGAGCGAGAGAGCAGTGTCCCGTCTAGAGAGCCTTGGTGGAGGAGTACCAGTGGGGAGTACCATTCCTAAACCAAGGCAGATTGGCACAGTATCTGATGGGAGGTGTCTGACAAGAGACCTACATCATAGGAAGCAGGGAGTGGGGAACCTTGGCACTCCAGCTTTGTTACATAAATTTGTTAAAAGAATTACTCTCTTCACTTCTGACTCACTAATACAGGGTCCAAAATTGCTTTTCCTAGAACTTTCTGTTTTCCCCATACCTTGCTAATTAAGAATAAAACCATGGTTCAGTACGCTATTGTTTGGGAGAGAAAGGAGATGTAGAAGAGAGTTAATCCTCCTCTGCTCCAAGAATTCTTCACCTGTTCCTGTCTGAACATCTGAAAATCACATGAATGTTTCTATGCTAGTGCAGCCAGACTAGGCTTGCCAGAAAAAGTGCTTCTATGAGGCTTGTTAATGCAGTGTCCTTTGCATATTGCAGTAGCCTGGCTGAAGGGCAATTTTTTTTTTGTAGCAGTGTCTGATCTAGTAGTTGCTGTACCTTATTTTATTTTGGTGTTAACTTCAACCATTGATAAGGCTGAACTAGTAGGGAGASGGGAGATGACTGCAGAAAGCAGATATTTTTAGCCACTGAAAGCTTTTCCAGCTTGACTGTAGCAGTGGTGAAAGCCAGCAGGGAAAGCATCAAAAATAAAGGTCAGTGGCATCAGCAGGGCCAGAAGTAACAGGGGATAAGCAGCACTACAGCAGCTAACCTACCAGCCTCTCCTGTAGCTCAGTTCTTGCCCTGTGGTGCAGTCCTCTGACACCTATTCCCATCTTTATGCTTTCCACCAGACTCCACTAGGTTTTCTCCACTAATCTGCTCCCCTATTGTTCTTGAGGTAATTCCCCAGTTTCCAGTCTTCTGTTGATCCATTAGGCCCACTAGGCCAATGGGGTTTTTTTGACTGTTGTACTGATTTTGACTGGGATAATTTTCTTCATAGAGGCTTGTGTGAGATTGTGCTTTGGGTTTGTGGCCAGAACACTGTTGGTTGTGTAGGGATGTTTTAGCTAATGCTGGGCAGTGCTTGCACTGCATTGAGACCTTTTCTGTTTCTCACACTGCCCCACTAGCACAAGTTTACAGGAAGYTGGGAAGGGGCACAGGCAAGATAGCTGACCCCAACTGACCAAAGGGCTATATCATGCTGTATGACATTGTCCTCAGCAATAAAAACTAGGAAGAAGAAGGAAGGGTGTTTTGAGTTCTGTCTTCTGAAGTAACAACTGTGTGTGATGGAGCCCTGCTTTTCTGGAGGAATAGCTGAACATCTGCCTGTTGATAGGAAATAATGGATGAATTCCTTGTTTTGCCTGGCTTGTGCACCCAGCTTTTACTTTTGCAATTAAACACTTTTTATCTCAACCCACAAGTTTTCTCACTTCTAGCGTTCTTATTCTCTGACCCATTCCACTGGGGGAGGGTGTCCRAATGGCTGTGTGGCCCTGAGCTGCTGCCTAGGATTAAACCACGACAGTGTATGTTGGTCTCAAAATGTGATGTTACACCTGTCATTATTGCACCTGGAGCTATATGAGATATTGGCAAATATCTTGGCTTGTATATTCATAGAAGAGCAAGTCACCTGCTCACAGTCTGAGCTCGTTGGGAAGCAGGGAGATGAGAACATGGCAAGTGAACTGGAAAGCAATGACAGACTTCATTTTGTTGGGGATAAGGAACCATGCACAGTAGTGGACAAAGCTGATTTTGCAGGAAGCAATAAGGGGAAAGATGTTAATTCAGAAGATAGTGGCAGAAGATATCAAGGAGCCTTGGAAAAGAACAGCAGCAGATTGTACAGGTAACGTTAACATGGATGGTTCAAAGTGAATCTGGATCATGTAATTTAAAGAGGAAAAATCTTCAATTCCCCCTTCCCAGTTTGTATCCAAAGCTGTAGATTGTGAACATTCTGAAGCTTGACCTTAACTGCAGTCTATTAACAGTGGTTTACCTCAGTTGGGATCATGTAATAGTTTTTTCATGGACAACAAAAGGGGTTTTTTTATTGTTGGGTTTTGGGGGTTTTCTGTTGGCTTTTTGCTTTGTTTGGTGGTTGAGGTTTTTTTTTGCAGGGGTATTTATTTGGTTGGTTTCSTTGTTGGTTTTCCTGAGGAATTACAAACAGCATAAATCCAAAGCAGATGGTCTGTACAAGGAGTGCAAAGGGACTTCTCRGATACCACCAACAGTATCAGCCCCACTTTGCTCCTGCAGTGATGCTTAAAAGACTGTTAGGTGAAAAGCCACTGATGTTCAAGTTTTCTGTAGGCCCCAGTGGTGGAAGAATCTGACTCTGCTTTTTGTCTGTTTCTGAGCTGAACTGTACTATCTATCCATGAAGGACTTTCCTGGTCAGAATTTTTGTGGTGTTTAAAATGCACTTTGCTGCACAAAATATACTGGCTTTGTGCCAACATAATTAAAGTGGGACAGATGCCAGTGTACATGCAATTCCTAAGCATCAATATGTCAGAAATCAGTATGTTCATGGAAAATCACTGCAGTATATTGAAAGAATCCTTTATTTCAATTTGGATATTTTTACAGCAAGGCTGTCCTCCTTGTTTGTTTAAAAATTATACACCTGAGAAATACAGTTCATTAGATATAAGAGTTGAATGTAGTTTAGCTTCTAGATAAGGCCTGGATTATTTTATACAATCCAGGAAAGCAGAGACAGTGATTTGCCMCCAGCAAATTGCACAAACTAATCATAACCACTGTGGTTTTCCCTTGTGTATTTTGACAGCAGTTATGCATGGCTTTTCGCAGAGCCTCAGAAGGTGCTTTCTGCTTGGAAATACTGTCCAMGGCCACCAAAGCAGTCATTAACAGCAGAAGAGCCCAAACCACTGTTATACGGTGCTTCTAGGAAGCTCAAATATACCTTACACCTGTGTCCTCTGAAACTTCTGCTGCTGTCTTTGTGGCCCATGCCCATTAGCCAGAAGAGGAAGAAAAAGCCACTGAGAAAGTCCAAGACATCTCTCTGCACCTTTTTAGCAGTGCTGGGAGGGCACTGATACTATGTTCTGGTTTCTTTCTCCATGTGTTCTGAATTCCAAAAGGGCATTTCTGGATCTTGTGATGGTGAACTGCCCTTACCTACTCAGGAATTCTCATGTTGTGGTTTACACACTCCATTTCCTTTGTGTCTTGTGCTTTGCTGTGCCGAAACAGGCATTATATGGCCTAAGARGCAACAGTATGAAACAGAGACTGATAGGGTTTGTTAGGATTTTTCCTTTTGTTTTCTCTTGGGGAATTTTGTCCCATCTGTTGCTAAGAGACAATAACGACTGGTACTTAAGAAAATACAAAAGTAGCCCAGCTCCGGTGGAGGGATGCAGCTGGCTATGCCCTTATCTGGAGGGTTTCTCTTGGAGGGGCGGAGACACTGAGATTTTGGGCTGGGGCTAAAGGGCTGAATGCAGCTCCTAGCTCTTGCTCTTTGGGCATTCGGAGGGGAGACAAGGTGCAGCTGCAGTGGGAAGAATCCAGCACCACTGCGGAGTTCCGTCACCTTCTTCTACCGTGAGTAAGGCTCTGCTCCTAAGAGCGGGCCATTGAATCGAGATCTTATTCACACCATACCTCACCGAAAAGGACTCTTACCATCCACTCGGTGCTGCAAGGGAAAACCTGAGACTCCGAGCCGCTCCGCCTCTGAGAAAGCCTCTCCCGGTGTGGGGATCGGGCTGCCGCTGCTCCTGCCACTGCTCCGGCTTTCTGCTACACTGTAACCCCGCACCCTCCACTTGCCGCTTGCCGGAACACACCACGGCTCCCGCGGCCTCTTGCTCATTACGTCGGGCGAGCCAGTCTGTGCGCCCCCAGCCACCGCTCCGCCACTCCCGCCATTCGCCCGCCCGCCATTGCCGTGTGAGGGAGAGACGCGGCTGAGCGCTCGCCACAGCGCCCCCTGCCGGCGCGGAGGAATCACCGCCCCGCCGGCACCCCCAGCGCCCCTGCCGGCCGCGAGCGGAACTGCAGCACAGGGGAGGGCGGGGACAGCCCGGAGGGGGCTGCGCTGGGGTTATGGCTTTGCTTCTTGTCGCTGCCCTTGGTGTTGGTTGCCTTGTTGTATACAGTATTAAAGGTCGGGTAATCTTTCTCCCAATGCTTTGCCTGAACACCCCCTAATTTCAAAGTTATAATGATTTGGGGGGAAGGGGGTCATATTCTCCATTCCAGGGAGAATTAAGAGGCTCCTTCCTTGGCAGACACCTGTCTTTCAAACCAAGACAGTGATATGGAAAGTGATAGGATGTTTATCAATTATCAGGTGAAAGTCACCAGCCAGTAAAAATACAGGAATAGTTGTAGCCATTTCAAAAATACCATCTGGAAGCAATAGGGACTCTAGCTCGCCCCAGAAGCCATAGATGAGCCAGGAGAACACTGAATGTAATCATACAGAAATAAATGTCTGTTAAGGATTTAGAGCTAATGCCAGTCAAGATGTTCCCTTTTTGAAATGGGAAGATGTCCACAATGCYTGTGGAAGTGTTTGAGGAGGTGTTTTAGGGATCAGAGAGCTTCTCAGCTGAGGAGAGCATGGTAGGAAAAGCAGGAGAGCTGAAAAATTCCTGCCATTGGGAAAGCTTCCCCTACTTTGAGGCAGTCTCCCAAAGAGTACTTGGGTAAGTAGTGTTCTGACAATTGTGCATTTGCATTGTTATTGCTGATGAAATTTTTCTGATTTGCCTGAGCAGTGTGAGGAGCTCAACCTGAAAGAGGTTTTGGTTCCAAAGCAAAAGCCATTGGGAAAGTAGTGGTTGTTACAGAGCCCTGATGCATAAATGAAACCTCACAGACTCTGCAGCTCTGGAAGAGTCAGTGGTGAACAGCACCGTTACAGACTCCTATGAAGATCAAAGTTATCCAGGTCACCCAGCAGGCGGATTCAGAAATCCAACCTTCCTTGTGTGCTGCTTTCTGAGCCACTCTGCAGGCATTTAACTGGACTTTTAAGATAAATTGTGGCATGTTTCCTTTTTTTGTCCTTGGCAGAGAGRAAAAATGAAAATACTGGAGACCCTCACAGCCTTGTAGAAATTGTTMTCTCAGAATCAGCTGAGGTCTGCATTCAGGGTCACAATTCCCCATGCCAGTGTTGCCAGCACCCGTGTGGTTTGCATGACATACCCATTCCTAGTTAAAATTTACACCACTCCTGGTGAGACCCCTCTGTACAGTGTACTAGATCTCAGTGTTTGTAGACATCCTCCTAAGGCCGCCTCTGCACTAGGAAGATTTTGGTAGCTGTTCAAATTACAGCACTGAAACCAAATTAATATTAAAGGGTTTAAGATGAAAAATTTTAAGTTTGTAGAAAGTCTTCTATAATTAAATTGCAAGGGAATGATGCCAATCCACAGCCCTGTGTCCCTTATTCCTAAAATCAATGACAAGCTAAAAAAAGCAAACATGCTGAGTTTGTTTTATCTGTCCTTTACCATCCCACCCCAGAAGAGAAAACTCCAACTCAGCATCAAGTCAAATCTGGAAGCAACTTCCAAGTTTTGTTCCMGCTGTAGATGGCATGCTTCCACCCATTTGTCACTGCCTGCCTTGCTGGAAGGTTACATGTTCCCTTGGGCCCAGGGCTCAACTTGCAGTGACACCCCTTGCAGTCACACCATGCCCATGTACCAGATTAACTCCTGTAAGTAGTTKCTTTTGGTCATTGTGATGTTGGGGAGCTTTTTGGCTCCTTTTAGCTCTTTSGTACCTCCTTCAGAAGCCAGCAACCCCTCCAGAACGATGGGAAGCTCTAGACAGCAGTGTCGCTGCACAGGCTGAAGCGTCATTAGCTCACTGAGAAGTTGCACAGTGTGGGGAAGAGCAGTGCTCTGAGCTCAAAAGCTACAGAGTAGTGGGAGACAGACTTTTTGGGATCTGGAGCATATAGGTGACTGGAGACCTGAATACAAGTTGTGTCTCTATCTCTGTCTTGTATTGGTAGAAGGAATACCAGGGMAAACACTGTAGAAATGTAGAGAAACAAGACCCCAGCTAAATGATGACTAGCAACACTAAGACCTTTGAAGCTGGTTCACACACTACACATTTCATAATGTGTGTAACTTTTTTTGTAGTCATTCAGGCTGGTTTACATTAACACTGCTTGACTTCAGTCATTCAAGACAACATTTGGGTTTTTTATTCCTCTTTTCTTTATTTGGACAATATATATATACATATGTACAAAAACATCTATGCCTACTTTTTTTTTCTTTTCCTTTTTTTTTACAATTTCATGTGATTTACAAAACAGGACAGCAAAATAACTTATAAAGAATACGAATACTGTACAAAAATAAAACTGATTGGGAGTTGGTATTTTACAGTGTTACAGATCACTGGTTTGTAAAACAGCATTTTGAAGTATGTGTCCAGTCTGCTGTATGCTGGGCTAAGTCCATCTGCAAGCTGAAAACAGATCTGTAATGTCGGTCATGAAAAACGTTCAAAAATAAGTATGTTGTATAGCTATACCTTTAAATCCATGATTTCTCTATACTAATGGACTTTCTTAATCAAAGAGGAGCTGTCCTAACTTCAGCACTATTAAGTACTTTCAAAATAGTACAACTAGAACGTATAGTATTAGAGAACCTGATTTTCCTTTCCTTTTCCAACACTTGCAACCCTATTCAAAACTTAACTTCAAGATGCAAGGAACTAACCTGCAGTTTGTTTTAGATGTTAAAGCCATTGTTTGCTTTTACTGAAAGAAAAAAAAAAAAAACCCAAACTAAATGAACAAAACTGTAAAATGCAATCCCCAAACGTGATTACTCCCAATGTATTCTGTTAGTGCTTAATGAATCGCATTAATCCTGTCTATCCAATGCTGAAATACAGCACACATTACTATTTAGGAAGGGTTCTTTTCAGAAACAGGATTTTGTCACTGGCAGTGGTGACACGTGCCTTGCATATCCCATTGTCCCATGGACTAATGTACCTCCCGCCTCTTTCAGACTTTGCAGGAACAATAGCATTTCTTTAAATGTGCATTCTACCCCAAATACACAATGTGGAAACCATGAATCTGGCCATTTAGTTCCATATATCAGTTAATCCTGGTAGCTAAGTAACCAAAACATTGATGTACTGACTTAGGAGCTGCTTATCACCTGTGGCTTTCAGTTGTGGACAGCTGGATGTGAGGATCTCTTGTATTTCAGTATTTCACAGGATCAGGCTTTAATTTTCCAAGTGCTGCATTTGTCCCACAAAATGGCAACAATCCAGACTGCAGGACGGAGACTTGAAATCTAGCTGGATCTTCCCAGAGAAGAACAAAGATGAATATACATGCACCTCTGAATCTTATCGGGCTGCTCATGGCCCCTGACCCTGCTCCACAAGGCAGCATTAACAGTACTGGTAAGCACAACATTTTCTGTATTTCTAGATCCTCAGAAATACTAACACTACCAGTTTTTATTACAAAGACCTATGTCCCTATGACTCAATCTGAATACGAGAAATTAAAGTTTGGTTTCTAAAATAAATGTTTCAAAAAGCTGAAACGGAGGTAGAAAGTGTGCTTGGTTTCCTGATGTCTTCACTGAAGAAAACACATCCCTTTTTATTCCACAGACTGTTCAATATCCCCAATGCTTTTTAAAAGAGTTCTCTTCACATAGACGAAATCTATCATGAACTACACAGGTAAAAACACAGTATGCAAACTGATTTCTAATGCTGGAAGCCATATACAACTGTAGAGGAAAACACTCTAATCTCCGAGTTCATTCTTTATGTTTGTTTCTAGGAAGCAAGCTTTTTATCAGATATAACAATAACATACTGTAATTGCAGGTGTGCTAACAAGATCTTCTATGTACAGAATTTTACAAGATGACCTAAATTCATCTGCAGTGGAGACACTTTGGGTTTCAGTGTAAATACTCACAAAATTAATTTGGCCCTAAGTCTCTGTAATAGGGCTGCACCTCCCCTTCCTCTTCTGGAGGAAGGGGTAAAAATCAAACAGAAGAATGTTTCTGGAAAAAAAAAAAAGTGTAAACAGAATTCTCCCCTGTTTATGCAGCTGGGGAGGGGAAAAAATGTATTAATGATAACCTCTTACATTTCATGCTTTTAACATAAAAAAATCTGAAATATTTGCTAATGATCACAGCTGAAAGTTTTCATTCTGTGATCATTCTGCTCCGCATTTGACATGCCATGCATGACACAGGTACAAAGTACCAAGAGAAGCTTATGTCATAAAGGAGTATTGCAAGACACCTTCTTTATTTGAAATTAGCTCGTGGCATTCCCCCATACTCCAGAGAAAGAGCAATCAAGAGATACAGGAGCCCTTCCAAAGTGCTCCTTACAATAATTTTAGTTGTTTCCATTATCAGAGTGCTCTTAAGGAAAGGTCTACTCTCTTCATAAACATGCAACTCCCATAGGACTCCAAGGGAGTTAGGCCATGGTATGAAGAGAATAAATCTTTAAGGCAAGTGTAGGACAAGAAAAAGCCTTTAAAAAAGCAGCAGTTTGTAAAGATGGTAGCTGCTTTGTGCACCCATTCAACAAACCACAGCAGAATAAAGCACTGTTAGTGGTATTTCTATAGTACAGTACTGTATTATTGACAAATATAGGATCATATGAGAGACATATGCTTCAGCTCCCACATGCCTGCCACATTATCTAGGCTGACTTGTATTTTTCCACATAAGTGAATAACAGACCTAAATACACACACAGTCAGAAAACAACTGAGCTGTTTGTGGGGCTTTTTTGCTTTAAGTATCTTCTTTAATCATATATGTTTTTACTGGAAAAGTCCAGCTTATATTCAAAAGTATAGTTAATACAAAGAAAAATTAAAAAGACCTATTTACTTTAATGGGCCTTATTGAGTATAAATTCACCTACTGGTAACCTATGTAATGTTTCTCTTAATAGTCTCTTTAAGTGCAGGATCGCAGAAGATACTAATAAGTAAACCCACTTCTACAATGTGCTATGGAGCTTTAATCTGAGAGTTATTTATGGGACTCGGAAAGTGTTTTTACTYGACAAACTCTAAATACAAGCAGCATTACACTGTTCAACAAAACATGTTCATGACACAGCAATCACAAAGACTTTGGGGTCATGCTACTGTGGTGGCACAGGCCAGACCGCCCAGTCATATGTATGTACACCAGTATCAATGCTTTACGTGGAGGAGGTGGCCTCCTCACGGGCTGTCCCTTCCCTCCTCTCACCCCACAGTCCACTTGTTCCAGGCTATTCTTCTCAGTGCAGGGCCAGGAGGTGGAAGACAGGGAGGGGGATACTGAGTACTTTAGTTTAAATAATGCCGGCTACRTGTGCTTTTTAACAGCGAGGGTGACCGGCACCGCAGTGGATGCTCGTGCTCTGGCACCACTGCCTTGCATCCTCGCCACTGCCTGCCTCTTCCCCACTCCTCTCCCAGGGCCAGCCCTGYCTTCACAAGGAGCTGCTGGAGCTGGACTTTTTGGATCTCTTGATCATGCTGGGATGGAACTCAGTGTGGCGGCGGGCGTGCTTGGTCAGGTGGTCGCTCCGCATGAACCGCTTCTCGCAGAGGGGGCAGCGGAACTGCTTCTCGCCAGTGTGGGTGCGGTAGTGCCGCGTGAGCTCGTCAGAGCGGGAGAACTTTTTAAGGCAGTCGGGCCACGTGCAGGGGAATGGTCGCTCACCTGCGGGGAGGAAAGCATAACGAGATTTAGGGGGGCAGGGGTAATGCAGATCGACACATCCCAGCTTTGCTAAGGAGAACATGCTGCTGAGGGGAAAAAGCTGCTTTTGTTTCCTGCCATGGTGCCAACGTCTGTGGAGTTGTTGATAACTCGCTTCATCAGGTTTCAGTCTCACCTCCAATAGAAGCCAAAAACCCCTCCAAATACATGAAACTCACATTCTTGTGAAAGCCTTACATGACCTGAAGACTGTCAAAACAACAGATGAGCTCTGCCTGTGCCTGTATGTTTTTCATGTTGGTCTCACTACAGTAGTTTAGGAAATAAGTGCCAGAATTATTCCTCTAACTCTTCCATTCTACTGAATTATTTGTAACAGTTAGAAAATGATGAAAAAAAGAAAAAAAAAATCCTTCACCTAGGACAAATCATTCCAGGCCAGGAGGAGTGGACAAGGGAGGAACTGGGGAGCAGTGAAACCTCAAGGCTGCAAACATGTAGAGCAAAACTGCTGCACCTGCACAGAGGTCTCATGCTCCCCTCTCAGACCTTCCCCTGAAAATCCAAGGTGTTCCAGAGAATATCAATCTTTTAGACAGCTGATTTCAAGACAGGAAAAACACTTCATTATTCACACTCTTACTGGAACAAGTATTTGCTATAATGAAAACCAAACCCAAACGCCTTAACCTAAACCACACCACAACTTCACTTTTACAAAATAAAGGTGTAAGGATTGAAGAGCACTCCATGTCATCTTCCTGGCAGTCCACATCCCTACAGTTCACCTCTGTGGGTTGCACAGGCTTTACCTTCAAGCACATACACAGCGCTTCCTGAGCAGCAAGGCTGACCCTAGTACACAGCACAGATGGAAAATAAAGGTGTTTTAAGTTCACACAAAAGCTTTCCACCACAGACACCATGYACTACTGCAGTTTTGATGTCTTCATTTACTTTCTTTAGAGTCTCCTGAAGAGAATATAAATGGCAGCTATGTGACAGCTATTTACAGTCAACCATGAAATATAAAAACTATCTCAGGAGTTTTCCAGCTCAGAAGAGTTGCAAAGAAACCCAGGAACTCCAGTATTTCTTGGTACTGTGAGGTTTGGCGCAACAGGTGAGCTCACTTTACATTCAAAGATAACAAAAAGCAAGTCACTTASAAATGAATCCTGGAGTGCTCCCCAGACACAACAGCAGAAACAAAAAGCTACAGCCTTAAATGAACACCTTGAAGCCAGGAGGAAAACCAGCAGCAGAAAAGTATGGCAGAGTTGCAGGGAGGAGAAATGAGATGGGGAGGGACTCACTGATGGCATCCAAAAGGGCAAGGAAAGATAAGGACAGACTTTCAAGGTAAGCTGAGGTGTAGCTACACCTTGGGCTCTGAAAGCCCAAGTGAGCCTGCCTGAATAAAGCAGCTGCTTTTACCATTTGGGCTCCTGGTGGTTTCTGCTCCTTAACAGGCAGCTGCCCTATTTCAGACCTACCAGTGTGCCATGGAATTGAGCTGGATGAGCGGGACTGTGTTGGCCACAGCAGCCCTGCGGCTGCTCTCCCTGCACTTGCCTTCTTTGCTTCATGGTCCTCAGTCAGGGGACAAGGATGGCACAGAGGAAGCCAAGCCAGCTGGGTGCCCAAGCCCAGGGCAGGCAGAGCTGCCAGCCATCCTGAGCCAGGGCTAAATGCATTTCTTGGCTCCCTGATGTATGCTTTTTGGACATGGCTGGAAGAGCTGAACAACCATTACAAATTAATTAAAACAGTATGTAGGGTCACACGTGCGTGAAGGCYGTGACCGCAGCTACACAGCGGGGCAGTACCGGGAGCCACAACAGCCTCACAACACTGCCCTGCCCAGCGCCTGTCCTTAGCATCTGTGGCAAACGTTTCYCTTGTGCTGCTCTTTTGCAATCTATCTCATGGTTTCTGTCACAGCTCCTGGAAGCAGGTGGCAGTGGGAGGCACAGAACAGCTTTCTAGCTCCCCCTGGGAGCGTGGGAGGAGTGCTACATCTTGCATGTGTGGAGCCATCTAGTATATGCCTCTGTGTCAGGCACTTACGCCCCAGAACAGTGAGAGCATCTGAGGCATCCTGCCTCATCCCCAGAAACCACATTTCCAGCCACCTACCTCAGGACAGCTCTCCAGCCTGCAGAAGTGCCCAGCTGTGGAAGAGGGAGATGACATGCCTCAGCTGGATAACAAGCATCACACCATAAATGTAGGTGCAGCCCCTACATTTTAGGGCAAGGTAGTATCCAACCTGAGTGCCAAAAAAGCAGTGTTTAAAATATGTCCTCATGCAGCCTTCAAGAAACTGAGCTCCTCCCTCAAGCCCTCCTGGAACTGCACATGGGAAGAAAAAATGAAGCCTTTCTTCTGGAATGCCCTCTGACACATGGCAGGAGCAGCATGACCTCCACCATCGTTACTCCACCCACCCTTTTCACATGCCAGGGCAAAGCACTCTGAGGTCACACAGTGTAACCACAAAGCTTCAGGGAAAGGCAGGGCTTGCTCAGGATCCCTTGAGGATCAGCTTGCCTGCTGTTCCTTTGGCACTATACTCTACAGGGAATCAACCCTGGGCTCGGCTGGGGAAGGACATCAAGGCTGTGGAGCCTGGTGTGGTGCAGACATGCCTTGCTACCAACAGGAGGGCCACTGTGCACCAGAATGGGGACACAGTGGATTGTGGCCATGCTCCCTCAGACACACCTGGATGCCACCAGCACTGCCCCCCACCCACTGCCGAGCTCTGAAGTACAGTAGCTGAGAATGGCTTCATCACCTCGGCAACACAAAGCTGCAGAAGCTGTTATAGCCATTTCCGAAGTGCCTACATGGAAGTAGGTACAAGACCTGACACCTGGCTGTATTAAATTCCAGGCTTGTCAGAGCAGAGAGACAAGGCAAAGGAAGGTTTTTCCAGGCCCTCAGGGGCTGTCTCTGAGCCTAAGGATTCACTGCTCCCCTTGGCAGCAAAGCTGTGAGAGGTGACACTAGCCCAAAGGGATGGTGCCTCAGGGACAGTCTCAATAGGTGCAAGGCAGGCACGGAGTGATGCGATAACTGTCCACTCCACAAAGCTGGTGGTTGTATCTGCTGTATCTAATACACTTCCTTTTTCAAGCTGCACCAGTATCTGCGGTATCCTTCTCTCTAAGAAAATAGGTCTTGCAGCTCATATGCTTGCTGGGCAGCAGTGGACTAGAGAGCTGCAGTGCTAGCTAGTGCTGCCTCCATCTGGAGACAGGGATTTCTGTGTCAGCTCAGGCAAGGCATGTATTTTCCTCATAATTTTTCTCCCTTAGTGTTAGGGGTAATCATGCTAAAGCTTGAAACAGCAGAATGAACAACCAAAAGAACCAGTGCTATTATACACTGATTCCTTTAGTGGCTGTATGCTATTGACATTTTAAGATATGCCTCCRATGGCATTTTCCATCAAAAGATGAAGGAAAGGTCAATGGTATATCATGGTAGTTTAAACTAYGTGTGATAGGATCCAAACACAACAGATAAAAGATGTAAATAATTTCCTTTTAAAAAAAGTATGTGTATATACATACACACAGATAACAGGGCAGCTCACAGAAGTAAGAAGTGAATAAGAAACAGATTTATAGGTTTTAGGAACAGGTGCGTCTGCAGACTCCCATCCTTTGTGCTGTGTGGCACCAGGAATATAGTGAGAGACATAAGTTTATTCTGAGCTATAAGCTAATAGTGGTACTTCACAGGTCTTCTCTGCAGACTAAAGAACTCCTGCTCCTGCAACCCTGGCTTATTTTAAAACCCATAGGGATGTAAAATCCTTTGCAGATCGTTATAATCTTAGCTCTCTTGCTGCACCTGCCATTTTCTACTTGCTCCTCTCCCCCTTCCCCCAATGTTTAGTTTCTTCTTTCTGTGCAGGCTTAAACTCTATATCCAAGCCACTTTGTACTACTTAAAACAGGTGTACTTTATCTCATTTCCATTTTATTCTGAATAGACAAAAGCTAATTTAACTTTTTTCCCCTACCCTGGGACATTTCAGATTTTCCCACACAGAAGTCTTACGCAGAAAGGCTGTCTGAAAAAAGAATACAGAGTGGGCATTAGCAGACTCATTAACATAAGTACAGGTAGTAGTGGTATCCTGATTACTCATCTGCCTTTTCACCACAAAATGTTGCTTTATGTATGGATGACTGAGGCAGGGAGCTTCAGTTCATGGTGCCTTTAATACATAGCATAACTGCTATCTCAGGTATCTCTGACTTTTCTCCCCAGCTGTTTGCTTCACATATCCTCAATGAGCAATTTCCTATAGGACACTGGACTTTGACCAAGCGTCCACATGCAAGATATTCTGGTGAAGATAGATCTTCGGGGCAGACAGATTGGAGGCCTTTCAAGCATGCTTCTTCCTTTCCTGAGATATTCCAAAATCAGATCATTAAAACACATGGCAGCAAGGTACAGACACTGGTGCAGAGAGATCAGCAATGAGGATGTTAGGGACTATATGCCTAAAGGAAGGCTTTCTGGAAAACCTAAACTGTGGTAATCCAACCAGACAACAGATCAAACAGACAGGACAGGCGACAGATGGATGGATTCCAGCAAGAGGTTTATTCTACCACAACTTAGGTTTAAACACAACAGGTTGACTCAAGTGTTAAAATGCTGCTTTCAGCAAGTATTTAGAATGTTCTGACATTCTTAAAACTACCACTCAGCAGCTGCTGGGACATACAGGTGTTTTGAGTCTCTTTCAAAATTCCAGATGCAAAAACACCTGCTACAACCTGCTGCTGCTGAGACTAAATTTCAGGAAAATTCTGTCTTGCTCTTAGTCCACTGTGACACAGTATCAGATGTAAGGGATGCCCTTTCAGATTCTCTTCCAGAGCACAAACCTCCTTGACTGCCTTACAAAAGGCTTTCTCTGGACTACTGTGCCTCCATACACATATTCACAGAGAGAGATCAGTCACGGAAGC